ACTAAATTTTTGGTTCTCGCAGGCTGGTTTCACACTTATTTGCTTCACAATAGCATCCACATAGTCCTTTGTTTGCTTCAATAGATCATCACTTTTTTTCGATGCTGTTCAGTTTCGCCGATAGTCTGAGGTCTGGCGTGACAAACACACAACATTCATCGCAAAACCAGAAGATATTTTTACAATCACTTAGAGTTTTGCTAATATTATCTTTCACTTTAACACATGAAGTATGAAAGTGTTTTTCACAGAAACTACAGCATATTCCTTTACTATTATCGATGAAATTATCGGAACATGTACCGCACGACCGTACGCCATTCATGCTGGGCGAGCATGAGTTTCTTTTCCCGCATATTGGTGAATCATACTGTATATTTGAAAATAACTCTAAAATATTTCCTTTTAGTTTCATCTCCAACAGTTGTATATAACATTTTTTTTCTGAAGCAAATAATAAATGCATATATTCATATAGAAAGAGTAAATTTCAAAAATCCAAACTACAAAAGATAGAAACATGTTTCTAACGTTAATGGCTAGAGAAAAGTGTAAAATTTCAAATCATATCCGCATTGGCCCTGAGGTTTGTTCTTGTTCTTTTGCAGGTTGGTAGTCTGTCTGTCGTTAGTCTGGTAGAAAAAAATTTCGCTGCACGAATTCACTTCTTCGCAATCTTCCTGGTAAAGTTAATGGCGACAACGTGAGAACGTCGGGCAACTAAAAATCCTACTGCATTTATTGAGCATGAAAGAGATTCACCAAAGATGAACGTCTTCTGTGCGATACCTTTAACCAAATTACATGGGCCCTCCTGCATGAAGAAAACTGTGAACTAGCTATGATTTAAAACTGGTTATATCCCTAAATCAAAGATGAATCCATTTTCATGCAAGATGGTACCCCGTCTCATTTCGCTCTAGACGTTCGACGTTACTTGAATAGCACCATTCAACTACGTTAGATAAGAAGAGGAGGAAGAGCAGATCAACTTTATCAACGATGGCCTCCCAGGTCTCCGTACCATATTTGAACACTTATCTGTATCCATTAACGTCAGAATTCTGTTTCTAACTTTTGTAATTCCTAAGAAATAATTGTGTGGAATCTGCTCTTTGTTTTCGAATAACCCTTTATTACTTTGACACACTGTCCTCGGATTAAACAGCTTTCGCAAGTTGTTTTCCAGGTTAGACATAACCAAACGACAAGTTCGTCCCCTCGCCAGCTCAGTGATTCAATTCTGTCGAGGTCGTTGTTTGCGTATTACGCGAAAACGGTTTAAATCCAGGATCAGCGAACCCGGAACGTTGCGACGTTTGAGCGTGGTACATTCGTCCCGGTGTTATCGCAATAATTCCCGATATATAATTTTGAAACGCGCTCACAATATTATTAAACACGCCGGACCCGAAATAGACGGATGTTTTGTGATTGGACGCGTTCCGTGTTGTTGACATTTCGTACTCGCCGCGGTTTATTTTCTCAAGAGCGGCCACCGTATACCCGACGGGAATGTTTTCACGCGTTTAGCTTAGTCGCAAACCGAAATCGATGTTGCCGAACGCCGGATTTATAGCCGTCGAACGGCGCAAAGAAAATAGTCTCCAATGCGCCAACCCATTTCTCATCGTCTTGTGACTAACGAATACGAATTAAGGAAAGACCCGGACAAGCTGTAATAATGAAATATGGCCGAACAAGTCCGTACTTTGCTTAGAATTTAATTATGTGAGGTTTTGTTAGGAAAGATACTAGACAATATTTATTTGTTTATGTATGTATTTATGTTTAAATCTAAAATAAAATTACAAATTATTTACGGATATACGATTGTTCTGGGTTTTCTGTATGTTTAACAGAATTTGTGGAGGTATGTTAAAAACTTCGGTTTCTATAAGTTTGAGGATATTGGAGTTAACACGGGGAAAACATTGTTACGACGAATGGTAGATTTCAGTTGGTGCCAAACATGTTCAATGGGATTAAATATACAGTGGTACCTTAAAACTGTATGCCCTAGATTTTTTGCATAATTATCACAGACATATTCCTTTTGTAGGTTCAAGCTTTGTAGAACCTCAATTAATTGCTTTTTGGTATAATCTTCGTGAAAATAAATGTCGTTATTATACATATAGTTTTGGATTGTTGCTTTTGTGTCTACTGTGATAACTTGCATTGTCCATTACAATAACACTATTAGGATGAATGGTTGGAACTAGTTTGTTTTTAAACCAACTTTCAAATAAATCAGCGGTGGTTTTTCCATGGTAATCCAGAGAAGAATCTTTTGGATCCATTTGGAATCCAACCATCTTTAGAGCCAGCATGCAAAATAGTTATTCTTTTACCTCTTTTTGATGGCGCGTTAGTTTTACACTTATTAGTTGAGTCAACCCAACCTTTTTCAGGGTATCATAAGTGTCGAACCAGGTTTCATCCAAGTAAATAGTTCGCCTTTGTTATTCTCTGTAAATCATAATTTTTTCTAGATATTCCAGTCGCCATTTACGAATTCTAAAAGATTCCATTAAAACTTGCCTTTTGTCAATTTTTTAAAATCTAAAACCGATGTGTTGAATACACTTCCATAAGGTAGTTCTGCCACATTTAACACCGATTTAATCTTTTTCAAGCCTCCTAATTAAGATATCTAATGTAGGCACGCTTTGTTCCTCGTATAACTGGTAAATTTTACGCCGTATTATATCTTGATCACTTTCATCTACACTCGAGAAAATGTCAGCATCGCTTCTTTTTTTACTCGCTGAAATGGGATTATTCACAATTTTCCATATAGTTGATGTTGGAATTTTCGTCAATGTGGCCGTTTCTTCTAAAGATGCTTGCTTGCTGGCACCATGTTCAATGAAAATCAAATAAACTTGTTAATAACTTCCATAGTCTCAATAGAATAGTGTTTTCTATATTTGGGCGGCAGCATCTTCTGAGATACACTAGACTCGTACATAATTTGCATAATTCGCGCACGATTCAACACACGCTGTATTACACATGAAATAAGAATGATTACTAATAAACTTCAACTAAGTAGTATACCAAATCAAAGAGTATTAAGCACAGGTTATTTTCTATTACGGACCACAATTTTACCTGAAATTAAATTCCGAAACTTTAGGTAATAATCTTGTTGCATTGTATGAATAATCCCATTCAAAAGCAATTGGTCACTTTCGTATATCTATGAACAGACCATACCTATTTAAACTTTATATACGTTTTAACAATCTAACATTGGCTCATTCGGTTTACAGAAAACCTATGCACACAGACCGATACCTAAAAGCATTGTCACATTACCATCCGGCCCAAAAATCATCAGTTTTCAACTCTTTTGTTTACAGAGCCAATAAAACCATTTCAACCCGAGTCACTGAACCCACAATTAACACATCTTACATCCGCTCTTCTATGTAACAAATTCGATATTAGAAATATTATGCCTTCCAACACACAATACACTTCCAAAGGCAATCAGTCCTAAAGCAACCGCACACTGTTGTCTTACCTTACATTCAAAACATTACTGACCAGATATCAAAAGTTATAAAAAAGTATAAAGTCAAAACCAGATTTATCAGTCTTCGATCCAGCAAAGAGTTACTATGAGTTTGCGGCATTTCTTGGGTGTGTGGCAAAGAATACATTGGAGCGACCGGACGGAAAATATCAGCTAGGCTCAAAGAACATGAAAGAACCTTAAGACTACGACAAATAAACTTATCATCAGAAACAGGAAATCAAATTTTATTCGATAAAACTGCACGGAAAATCTATAGAAATTTATAAGCAACCAAACAATCTTAACCGCAACTCACCAATGTGAGAATCAGTCATCCGAGACAATATTCATGCGTCTCTTTTAGCTCCGCCCCCCCTTAAACAGTATATATCAGGTGAAGAGTAGAGCGCGAACCAGTTTCAGTTAAGTTTAACTTAAGTTTCTTTGAAAAATTTTCTGAATATTTAGAAATCGTCATGTCTTATGGATAGTTTGCCAAGTAATTGGAGGAATGTAGGATACACCACAGCACTGCTAAGGTGCTTTCTGCTGGACGTGGGGTGCTTCTAAAATCCAATACGAATCTGAATATTTGTTTTGGTTAGCACAATAGCATCCCAGCTAGCCAACAGTTGTCCCCTTTATCCGATTTTCCTTCTCCTGGCTCTTTAATCCAACTCCATGGCCTCTGTAATAGCCATCCTTTGGATCTGGTCATGGCAACATTGAGGGATAGTCCCTTTGTGTGCTTTCTTTGTTAACTTACTATCGAGATTCTCTCCAAGGTGTTTTACCTCCTCAGCGAAGCTTAGTTTTGTACTTAAAAGCTTCAGTATGACCAAATCGCCTAGTTTCCTTTTTCTTGGAAAAAGAATTTTTAGTTATATTATTTCTTATTACTTTTGCAATTCACAAAAGCAATATCAAAGCGGTCAATGAGAAATCAATTTTCGTGAATAATTTTGGTGCAACTGCCTAACGAAAATCTTTTACATTTGTAGTCATCAAAATGTGGAATGAATTTATAAAATAATTTAAAAAATTACAACGGCAAGAACTTTTCTAAACATGTAAAACTAAAACTGCCCGCTGAGAAACAATATTTGTAACATATTATTATATATGAGACACTTGAGTAAAAAAAATAGTAGAGAATTTTATAATATTCTTCGTCTGAACTATCTTTCCTTTTCTCCACTGATCTCCCCTATCCAACCCTTCCACCCTTCCCTTAATTGTCTGTTTTTTTTTCTTGTTATTTTTAGAATTTCTGTAATATATATATGTACATTTTGCCTCGACTTCAAATAATTTTTGTTGCTATCATTTTGCAGAGTTTGCTCGCACTTCCTCTCTTTTTAGGTGGTGAAATGTCATCGGTTTTTTAATAGAAAGAAATCCTTCCTGCACTTTTAAAATATTACCATTGGAAATGGCTGTTATACTGAAAAAATATAAATTGTTTGATTGATTTCCGTATTTATTGTGTACCATCGACAAATGTTTGAGCCTTATTCGATCATAGGTCGTCCTTTGAGTTCTTTTAGAAAACAGGAAAACACTGCTGACCCTGGAAAATGCACTGCGGGTAATGAAAGCACAATGCCATTCACATATTTACCGAAAAATACAATTCCAGATATCAGGTTGAAGGCCTTGTGGTCGATGGCTATGTGATTGATGAAGACTACCGCCAATAACAGCCCAAAAAAATTGGTTACTCCGCACATTGTGCCCCTAAAACATAAGTTTGTGACCTTGCAATCATATTTTTTGACAATTACCATATTACCTTATCACGGTCGGGTAAGATTCTACACTAACCAGAGCCTCCATAGAAGCGACGCTGCTGATTGACATCAATACGAAGCAGGCACAGATGATCTTCACGGTAAAATTACCTGCGTACGCCATTGCTATGGAGGCGCTGCTTGCCATTAGCAATCCTACAACTGATTATATTCATCCGCCGTTTCAACTGAAAAGTCTCTATACATGCCAATAAATTTGCTATAAAAACATCGACCAAATTTTCTTCTTTTTAATATCACGAACGGCTGTAACCATACAAAAATAATAGACTAGACTGGAACAGAAATTTGTAGGGAATTGTGCTATAACATATATTACTGTCAGAGCGAAGAATTGAGTAGTGAGGTAATTGTTTCCTATCTAAATGAATATATACAATTGTTTAAATTTTTTACTAAGGTTGGCATCATAAAATTTAAATGCCTTAGATCAGATATAGTTAAGAAACTTTATTTTTGTTGCTGTGGCATTAGACTAAAAATTCGAAGAGATTTAGATACAGCACCTACCACTCAAATATTTAGTGTACAGGGTGGTTATCTCAATAAGTACGACACGGTGTCCTTTGCATTCCATTTAAAAACCGGAACTCCCTGTATACCTAAAAGTATTATAAATAAAATATATACTTAGGGTCAAACACTTTGTCGTATTTATTTTTTTTTAATATATAATCTTTTTTTTTTAAATAATCTTCATATTACGAATCAACTGTATGTCAAAACTTTATTGGGTTTTTACACTATAAATGACAGCACAAACCAACCGTAATGAACTTGAACTTGATTTTTTTGTCTTGTTAGAATTATTTCACTTTATCGAACCAAAATGTTTTGAAGGTGGTGACTTCTAATGAGAGAACCTCTTTGACTGAGGATTTTTCTACGAGCTAAATTAATTAATAATAAAACAGACTCATATTGTCATGCCAAAAAACCACAAGTAAAAATTCGTTCGGAAATCGGGATTATTTAGACAATTATGAAGAAAAAGCAAAAACAAAAATAAAACTTTGGTACCGTATATCTTGAAAATCAGGGCGAGAGAAATGGACGGCACCATTTTTTTTTTGTAAATCGAACGCAGAAAATTATTTTCGGGTTTCTGCAATGTCCACCGGAAGGGTAAGCGTTTTCTGGTAAAATAATATGAGGTGTTTTGTTATAAATCATAAGACCAACAACTCAGTAAAAACCGCATCGCAATAGCCTTATCCTAATCGTTTATGATATGAACGAACTTAGAGAGAAAATTTGGATGGTAGGAAATGTTTCAATTATTTTGGGCTCTGAGGAAGCCAACAAGATGATTGGCGAAACATCAACAATTTACGATTTATCAACAACAAAAGCAGGAGGACGAGAAGATTTCTAAATAGTATTTATAATAACCTGTGGGAATTTCTTTGAAAAAAAGCGCAACAGCATAAATTTAGAAGGTCATCGACTGAAACTGATTACTCTGTGCACCGACATTTTTGTTAGGTCGTAGAGTCCATAATGTCCCTAATTTTCTTAGAATATCACAACTTCATCTCCTTATAAAATTCTTCGTAGATTTAGTTTTGTTTCACTACGAGAAAGAATCAGAATAAAACACTGTGGTTCCAACTTAGTCTTTTCCCCCGCATATTATGGCAAACGAGTAAATTGTTTCAAATGTTGAGTCTATCTTAAACAAAGTGCAATAGCAACGGCTAATTAATTTCGATCTGAACTGGGAAAAATCCTTAACCAATCCAAACAACCTTCAATCTGCTATTAAAGCTTCTTTTCTATTAGAAACTGTGAAAAAATCTGTCACCAATCATGACTCTAAAATTCGTCATTTCTACGTACCCCAGGATTCTGGGAAAACTGATTTTTTCGTTTCACTTCAGTAAATAATTAAAAACCATTACATTAGATCTAAACGATATTTTGGTTAGTTTCGAAGTGGAGTCCGTCTTTACTAAAGTTCCTATTTATGACACTGTCAACACTATATCAGATATATTAAAATCCTAGAATCTGCAATGAACCTTTTTCATCTTAATTAAAAACGGTCAACAAATATCAGAACCAGTTATGGGTTTCCAATATCACCAGTCATCACGAATATATCTATGTATGGAAAATTTTAAGAAAGCCCTCAACACCTGCCACCCAAAACCAAAGTCACGTTGATGATACTTTTGTTATTTGGCCTCGTGGTGAAGAATCCTTCCAAGATTTACGAGTTGTACTTTAAAGCAGACACTCCTAATATTATTAATAATAATCTGCGCTTCTTAGATGTGCTTATTAATAGACAATCAGACCTAACATTGGTTGATTCAGTTTACCGTATATGAAATGTTCTTAAGAAATTTTTAAGCCACCAGAAGATTACAGCAATCCATGCATATACAGCAAAAAGTATGTTGGAGAAGCAGAACGAAAAATATTAACTGGACTCTTTCTTTTGGCCACTGGACTATGATGAAGTGTAATAAGATTTAACAACGGAAAAACCGTATCCAAGCATCAAATACCGACATAAAAGACGAATTCGTTTTTTCTTCTATGGCAAATGAGATATTTTATTCGACTACGTTTGGTCAGATAAAAACTATTTATTATTCCATGGCAAAGAAAATATTGTATTGGAGTACGTTGGGTCAAATAAAAACCATTTCTTTTTCTATGTCCATAGTCAATCAAATAGGTTAATCAACAACAATTGATTATTGAGCGAATTAGTGATGAAAACTAATTTTTAAAGAAAAAATAAAAATAAATAATGTCCTTTTTAATTTTTTTCTGTACAGACGGAGTAATTAGATATTAATAGCAAATAAAAACATGTTCGGATAACCCCCACCACTTTAATTACTCAGATAGAACAGTCAGCCATTACTCAATGATCTTATATATTTTCCTCAACTTTAAAATAGCCGTGGTTAATATTATAAATTTTATTAAACGAGTATTAAAATTCAAGGTGGCTATTTTAGAAATTCAAAAATAATTTTCAACATTGGCTCTTAAACGATTTGCTTTTTTTTTTTTCTAAAACCGTTCGTTCCTCCAATGCCGTCCCTCGTTGTTTAAAATCGAACCCCCGGTATATAAACACGAAAACAAAAACTATTTTTTTTTAATTCAAACCACTCTAGATATTTGACAACTTCCACATTTTTTGTAATTCCTAGCCAGAGTTGTATGAATTTTTTTTAAGAATAAATATTGCGGTGCTCATTCCTAAAATGAAACATATTTTTAAATTCCCTTTCAATTTGACATTTCGCAAATTTTTTACAGGTGTTTAATATTAAAAACCCAAAGTTTTAAATTATTTCACTAACATATTTTTTAAAAATCGCATCGAAAGATATGTCTTTCACTGCTCGAAAAAATAGTTTTTTTTTTAGAAATTCAACACTTCGGAAAGGAACGAATAACAAGCGCTTATTTTTTTTCATAAATTATAATATAAAAATTTAGTTAATTAATTTCGAAACACCCTGTATATTGTTATACTGAAACTCTGCTCTCCGCTCAGGTCCAAATTTTATTTCAACTTTTTTACTTTACTCATTTGTTATGTGCATCAGAATTTTTTTTTCATACGTGTAAATGTCTTCGAGATCAACAGCGCATCGCATTTCCTTTCGGTTTTTTCTTTAATATGTTGTACATAATATTAAGTAATATAAATTAATAATAATGTTAAGAAACAAAAAAAAATAAAATAAAATTTTCAGCTTTGAGTTTATTATCAGCCATTTTGATGGACTTGCTCATTTCATTCAACAATACCTTATTAAACTAATCCAATACACGTAACCTTATACACTGCTGGCTTTTATTACCTATTTTACAAACAAATTCAAAACCTGTTATTAAAATGATATTATCTATCTGCATAACACACAGGTATCTTTCGGGCTGAACCGACTCTGAGACTGTTACTACTGTATAGTGTATTCTCAGTGTAACCTGGACTATAGCAATCGATATAACGATTTTGTTATGAATGATTTTTGATGTTTACGAAACATTTTCTATTCTTGAATAAACAATTGGTGTCGTAGGGTTATATCCGTAAACTTTGACTCACATATCGGTATCTTTCGGCCAAGTCTATCAACCATTACTGCCGTGGCGACGAATCCCAAGATAACGTTCAGTCCAAGTACCGTTACGTATGTCAAAAAATGGCCGTTCGCTTTGGTGTCGGCGCACAACGACCCGTTCGTGCCTAAATCGGGATAGTATAATCCGGGATACACCACGGGATACGAAAAATCTAATCCTTTAAGCTGGTGATCGGGCTCCCCAGCAGGTGCGAGCTGTTTGGACAGGGCGACGTGGAGTTGAAACACTCTGAAAATTTTTGACATAATCAAAAATTGCGTATACCGGAACATTGTCGAAGGGAACATAAGAAATCCCATGTAAATTTTAAGGTCCTCAAATATTTCAATAAGCCAATATTCAGTTATTGAATTAAATATAATGGTACAATTGCAGAAGAAGAAGCTGGACAAAGACATATCAAATAAAGGTTAGTTTACATATTTCATATATAAAAATTCGGCTACAAGACATTACTAAAATAAAACATTATATTTTTAAGTAAATGTTCAAACAACCCTCCATTTACAGTTAAACATTATCCTAAGCGATCATAAAATTCATTTCATTATTAATATTGTGAAATCTTGTCACATTTTGTAACGCGTTTGTAAGATTTTCAAATTTAACATTTTTATAGATAACACTTCAAAAGTGTTATTTCAAGTGATCCCGCAGAAGCAAGTCGTTCGGCGAGGGGTCAGGTGACCTGGGTAGCCAAAGGATTGGTCCGATAATATTCCGGTTAAAAGTATTTCCCAAATACTCCCTAACAATAGAGGAATTATGGTTGGGACAAGTATAAATTTTATTTTGTAATAAGTTCACAACAAATGGCCCAATAATGTGATGTCCGCAAATTTCCATCATCAAATTTATTTTTTGAGGATATCGACTTCGAGTATTAACAAAACGACATTCATTGTCTTGGTGCCAATCCTTATTATTATTTGCTTTATCCATCATTTCAAAACAAATTGCTACCTTTCTTTCTTCCTCGCCTCTCTGGAGCTCTTGAATTTATTTATTGCGATGCCTTTGAATTCGAATTGGGTAATAATGTTTATTTGTTGACATGGAAGGTACAGTTGTAGTAGGAAAATAAACTGAAAACACTTCAGACACTGCTTTAAGACTGTTTCCTGGATAATACCACTTAAGTATGGTTACTTTCTCTTCAATTGAATATTTAGCTTTAATTAAAGCGCACTGAATAACGTATAACAATCACAAATAAAAATATTGTTAGTCGAGAATTTTTGTGTTGTCATTATCAAAATGGATTACACTGGTGTTGGATACCTACACATATTTAATTCAATTACGGGAGATTGACTTATTAAAACTTACTCACACTAGGCACATGAGTTAACCGGCTCCTTCAATATATTATATTACAACTTTGCGATAAAATGTACATGGGGGTCACCTAAAAATTTCCATGGGATTTCCTTTGTTCAGTTCGGCAACGCATCACGCGGTATAATGTTCAAATAAGGATTTTTCATAGAAAAAATCAAAAGCGTCATCCAAAAAAATTCGTGTTGAAATCGAACGGCTAAAATATTGAACAAATTCATTTAAAAATCAGGTATTCATGTACCTGTTTATCTCTTAATTTGACAATGTGATTTTGTCATGGCCAATTAGTGTTATAGTAATAGTCTTAATAATAATAATAGTCGAAAAAAGGGTAAATATTGGAAAAGTTAACATAAATTACAAAATAGATGAAATGGTTATATGATACTTTATAAAAGTTTGTAGGTCTGGTGTGCCATTTGAGAAAGTCAAGATTTTTCAATTTTAAATTATTCAAATATACAGGGTGTGCGGTATAAGAGGATGTACATGGGGACATTGGAAGCTGTAAGAGATACAGCGTCGCTTAAAAGGAAGAAAAAATCTAGCTTTGTTTTATTTTAAATCGTACGTAGATACAGGGTGAAAAGGAAAATGTCAATTTTTGAAAAACCTTTGCCTGATCATGGTGGCTGCAATGTTCAAACTTTCAGGATATGGATAAATGAATACGGCGAGCTGAAAATGGCGTATTGCTTTACGTCAGATTGAAGATTGCAACTTTATCCGTAACGGCCTACCCAAGGACTTCAGGATGGCGATACTCTTAAAAGTCCTTTGCTAAGAACACAGTATTTTGGGCAGCAAATCCACGGTTAGCTCGTGAAGTTAGGCATCAAGTGAGGTGGGGATTTAACGTTTGGTTTGATATTTTGGGCACCCACAAAACTGGAAAATTGTACTGGCTGCGTTTCCCGATCGTCTCCATTTTTATTGACTTCTTACTTGTCCACTCATTATTTAACTGTGTGAATAGCAATATCGTAGCCGACAATAGTGAAATCTCATTTTTGATTTGTTTTCTTCCCCAAACATAAATGTGTGCTACACATGAAAATATAGAAATTTAATATGGAGCCCATAGGAAAAACAAAAATTGATTTCGGCAGTACGCAACATAGTAAGTAGGACTTAATTTCTTTTGACGCCATTTTTAGCATCGTCGTATCCTATTCCCCATATTCTGAAAATTTCGGCTCCTATAACAAGGAAAACATTGTGGTTTTTCAAAAATGGACATTTTTTATCTTTCACCCTGCATCTACCTAATGGTATCGATTTAAAATAAAACAAAGCTAGATTATTTTTTGGCACATACATACTCTACCTTCTCTTTCATTTAAGCGACGCTTCTTAATTTCATTAAATCGTTACCTTACTTATTCCAGACAATACTTATACAATAACTTTCATCATTTGCATGAAGCCAACTTAGTTTAATATTTACATTTTATTTATAACAATCTACATAGCTTTATGATCTATATAGTATCAAAAAAGGTAAACCAAAGCAATTATTTAAAATGATTACTAAATTACTAAATATAAGCATTTATCGCAAATCTGGACATAATTATTTCAACTTATAAAGCTAAAAACCTGTTCAAAATGTGGACCTACACACAGTTTCAATCTTCTCCAAAGCTTTCAGAATAACAAGACGTTGCATTCGCAAATTTTCAAAAGCTATAAAGGTCAAAAGGTCTTCATGGAAATGATAAAAGTTATTGTGTAAGTATTGTCATGAAAATTTAAAAAAATAATTTTTGTGTGGTCATTTATACAAATAACCCCATACATTTTTGAGAGGCTCATACCAAGCTGAATCAAATTGGTCTAGAAGATATAGGGTGTTCCATCCAAAAAAAACAAACTTTATTTTTTATTCAAAAAGATGAAAGCGTCCAGAAAAAAAAAACAACTCTACTCAATCTTTGTCGGATATGTTTTTCAGCTTTCCGACATTTCATAGGATATCCGAGATACGAGCTAAATCTAAGCAAGCCATGAAAATTTTGTTGTCGTTATCTTTGATTTGAAATATTGGCTTAGGTACACAAATAATTGTGAATCCTAACAATCTTTACAACTTTTTTTATTTGAAACGTTAATTGTTTTTGAAATGATTAATTTAATGGAATCATTTTTTTTAACCCTCTCTAGTGTAGCGATTGATGTTTATTCAGATATTTTTATATTATGAATCGCCAAATACTCTATACATCAAAAGCAACTTAAATAAACGGAAATCGTTTATTACCGGTAAAGACATAATCTGTAAATATTGGCGAAAAAATGTTTGAAATACTTGGCATCCGCGCACATAAAGCTTGTGACGATGAAAAATCGCATAGAACAACAATATTTTACCAGCTGACGAACTGCAGGTGTTTTTTTTCTATTATCTCGAGAAATTTTTTCTATTTTTACTTTTGTTATATTTGCCCGTTTTCGTATAAATTACTCTTCCATAAATTTTGTTAGGTTTACTACAAGCATCGCGTCAAAAATTCGGAAAACCTACCCGACCACCATAATTGGCGTTTTAATCGCGATAAGAGCCAAGGTGGTGGTTAAAAGTCGCCTCGAAAAAGCCATTCTCACGGCTCTATAAAATCTCCAGCAAAGAACTTGGAATACATCCCAATACTGCTCTGGCTCCACATAGGCGAATTCGTAAGGTCGTATTACGTTCTTAATATCGTCTTCTTTCGTCTAAAGTAGAAATAATGATGCTACTAATATGAATAGTTCTGATCACAACTGTGAATTGCCTGATCACGATGATATTGTGATCTCAAAGTATATCTTTGGTTATTGAGCGTAAAGGACAAGACGCAGACAAATCAGTTCGTTGTTATCAGTGGCAGTGTTGAATCACACCTTGACTTTTAAAAAATGTTTTTACAAGAAGATCATTAACCAAAAAATTACATCACTTACAGGGACTATAAAATTTTTAATTTGGATGAGTTTTTAAAGGAAGGATTTTCGTTTATAATGAAAGTATTCGGCAAATAAGAAGAACATTGACCCCATGGACTATTGAAAATATCAAATATCACACGAACATCGTCTCCTCATTATATTACATGTTATGGGCAACAAGGAAATCATACAAAAAATGCAATAACTAGGGAAAAAATAACTTATTTTAGTACATTTTCACAATATATATATATATATATATATATATATATATATATATATATATATATATATATATATATATATATATATATATATATATATATATATATATATATATATATATATACATAGAGAGAGACTGATAATTTAGATCATTCCACATACCCCTATCCATTAAATGTTAACAGCAATATGACTACAGACAAAGTAACTTTAATCTATTTAATCTAACCGATCTTGAAAAAATTATAGCAGACATTACTTCAAATTAGGTTGGAGAAGATGGAAGCTAAATTCTATATATAGAAATCTGCTTTTTTATTCTGGCGCATTAATAGATATCATAGATTATGGACGAAAACGCCCATTTGTCAGAAAAAAAGCAATTATTGCCAAGGTGGCAGACCCCAAAAGAACTACGGCATGTCAGCCTACTCCTAACAGTCTCAAAAATGTTGAAAAATATATATGTAAGCAAATTGCAACAATCTTATACCGGATTGCCAATCAGGATTTAGAAAATATTTTAGTACCACCACTACTTGCCATAGTAAATGATGTAAGGTGTGAGGATCGAGGAAATGGAACTTGTCATAATTTATTAGTTGCAAAAATTGAAGTATGTAGGATTCTCAAGCGATTTCTCAAATCTCTCACATTCTCACAAGTAGATACAGAATGACAAAAAGTACAACAACGAACTCTTTGATACAAACTTCCAAATTTAAGTTCGTTCAGCTAGGTGTTCCACAGGAGGCCAGACCAGGCCAATCCTTTTTTCTTTATATGTGTCTGATATAAATCAGAACTTCATTTGCGAATCAGTATCCAATCCATTGCCGAAGTTCAACATACATAAGCCTTAAGAACAAAAATATTTTCTCTGAAAAGCCTTAATTCTTTTGTTTGATTATGCAAAATTACTTAGAAGACAAAGTCTATTTTTACATTAGGTTTGGGTCAAATTTTTCTCCGATTGTTCCCCCTGGGGTGAACTCCCGCTCAGTCATGTTTCAAGCTGTTCCAAATTGGGCTTTAGTGGCAATATACTCAGCACAACACCTTTTTTCTGTTGTTCTTCAACTTGTTGGTGAAAGGTTATTATTTTATGGAAAGAGTTCCAATAAATTGTGTAGAGATTATTAGCAGAATGGTATTTAAACGTCTTTTACTTGAACCTAAGATCCTTGCTTGTCAAATTTGTTGATGGGACATATTTTGTGTGACTGAACCGCGGTTAACCCATGAGGATTAAATATCGTCAGGTTAGAGCTGACGGAGGGTCGCAAAGAGGATTAATTTTCACTTCCTGTGTCTGATGATGACTCAAAAAACTCTTTTTTCCGACAAAATATTTTGCCTTGTCATTTGTTATTTTGCCATTCTACAAACCTAGAGTCAGTAAATTTAGTAGTAGTTTTGGTTAATTGGATGCACTAGGTTGACGCCTAAGTATAACACTTCTCCAATGAATCTTTGATTAATAAATCGGTAGTCATTTTTGTCGACCAAGTCTCTAACTATGCATACATAGTACCATTTGATGAAGTCTACGACATAAATGCTGTAAACGACAGAGTCAAGAAGATGGTTTGCCAATATTCCGCTCTTGATTATGGAACTCAAAAAAAAAAGCAAAATCTGCGTGAAAGCGGATTAAAAAAATATCATTCTTCCTGTAAAATATTGCGTAATTACACAAGTCTAGCATGCAGGAAGGAGTAGAAGGAATCAAGCTTGGAAAACTCTGAAAATGATGAATATAGGTACAACAGGTAAATTTTTTTTTTCTAAAATGTTGTTTTCCGATAAAGCTACTTTTCTCACTAATGGTGCAGTTAATGGTCATAACATGCATTTTTATTCAACAGTTGATCCATTTTGGGTACGGGAAAAACAACTAAAACTATTGGTCACTTAATATGTGGTGTGGAACAAAACACATTAAAGTTACTGGACCATATTTTTTTGCGAACCAGTTAAGGAAACTTTCATTTTGCAAAAGAAAATGACCACATGTTTCCAACATAAGGGGGATCTGAACATCACCAAACGGACCTACTAAATCAAATAGACCATGTCCTAATCGAGTCTAAACATTCACGAAATATAAGACATAGAAGGCCACCTGGAAAGAGGAAAGATAAAGGTGCTAGATCTGTTTATTTAATGTAGAACTTAAAATATGATAATGTGAGGGAATTTTTTCGAGACAAATTAAGAAAAATATAAATCTAAGTAATGACGCAACTACTGACGAAAAATGTATGGAACTTGAAAATGTAATATTACATGGCGCACAGATTTTGCAAAAACAACAAAAAAAGGTATGCGAGGGTGGTATGATGACGAGTGTAAAGAGAGATAGCAAAAAGGGAACGTGCAAGGTTACAGTGGATTGAATATCACACAGAAGAAAATAAAGGGAGTTACGAGGCTAGTTAGAAGAGAGGTAAAGAAACAATGCAGAAGCAAAAAAAGAGAGTATATATAGAAAGGAATTGAACAATGGGAAAAAACTTCATCAAGAATGAAGCCAAAGAGGGAAAAATAAAAATAAAACATTATTATTCTGCAAAAACCGACAGTTAGTAGGTGGCATTAACGTCAGCCTCCGAAGGTGGGCAGAATACTTTTAAGCTTGAAGAGAAGAGAATATGGGGGGAAGAAAAAATGCCCTTGAGATGGAGAGAATCAATTATCTATTATAAAACAGGAGATATTACTGTATGCGAGAAGTTCCAGAATTTTTAAATAATGATTATCAAAACATTTTTTTAAATGTCTTATTCGTCATGCTCTTTTTGAGCCACCCTGTATGCATTAAAAAAATTTAATTGTGCATCCTAGCAATCTCTACACCCTTAGTAATTAAAAAAAATACATGAGACTCAGAATAAGACTGAAACACGATTAGATTTTGAATAAAAACATTCTTTCTTAAATAATTATTGATAATTTGTATATATTTAGTGTCGTTTTTTTTTGGTACTAGTAATTATACTATACCCAAATAAATGAATAGAATAATTATTCTATGTGTTTTTAAAACACGTTAAAAGCCCGGCCCTTTTGCTCTGTTCTACCGTACCGACTGGTCAGGTGTTTTATTGCCGTCAAAAGTCAAGACGATATACTCTGAGACAAGGTATATACTTACCTTGAACGTATCGGCAAATTTTGAATTATTAATGGCATACAACTGCTTCAGCACGAGATAGGCCAGGTAGTTCTTGCCCAGTGACAAAAAATACCTGGGACTCTCTTCGAGCAACGCGCACGCGCAGGCTATGAAAAGGTTCAGACCTCCGCACACCGCAAACATTATCCGCCAAGGAGCCAGTTTACTGTCAATTCTTCCCTTGAGACTCGACAGCAGCGGTGGCGGTTTGAACGTTAACGTACCCCCTAGAAAATATATTCCTGAAGTAGGCGATTCGATTTTTAACGGCCTCCAAAGAATATTATAATAAAAATTATGTTTGTAGTGGGCAATATTTCTAGAAACAGAATTTGAAAAAAGACTTGTATTGCCTATTGTTTGGGTTGCTTTCCGACTCATTGTCTTTGGAAGGTTGTGAACTTTGTGATGAAACACTCAATATCTCTATTGTGAAAATTATTAGGGAGAAGAGCAAATGTAAGGTGTTTTAATTCTGTGTTCAGTGACTGGGGTTGCTGATGTAACAATGTATTAAGTTATATAAAAATGGGAAATTATTACTTTCTAATTTAATGGTAAAACATATGTTCGGGTGTATAGAGTTAAAGATAAAGCTAAAAATAGCTTTGCTTCTATAAGACTTGAGTGATAGATATTATCAATATAATATACATATAAATAACATAAAATTATGTTAGTATAATTAATAAATAAATAATAGTGATAATTAGCGTTAGATAAATAACAAGAAAGAAAATCTTTAACATCGGAATAAGCAGGGAGTAGCAATTTATTTTTAAGAGTGCATTTGAATCTTCTCCTTTAGTTCGATAGACAGTTTAATATAAATTTGTACAGTCAAAACAAAAGGACTATTTAAGAGACAGTCAGTGTTTAGAAATTTGTATGTTTCTCAATTATTTTTAACTGCTCTTTGCTTAACATAATTTTTAATAAGTATTTCTATATTTTTTTATTTGTAAGGCAAACAAACATTACTATTATTATTATTATTATTACCTATCGTAGTTAGATATCCCAGCGACCAAAACGCGGTGCAAAACGTGAAATAGGATCCTCGCTTTTTGAGCGGCAAGCTTTCGATCAGCAACAGTCGCAGGACGGTCGTGTTGTTTTCGATCCTGCGGCGAGTCTGGCTGTCAGTTGGTTTTTATTAGAAAAGGTAGTGAACTAATCCATCACCCCATTCCCAGAAAAAACGCGGATCCAATATTGACGTAGGGGTTGTAAGCGAACGCTGACGTGAACGTAGACAGGAACACCACCATCAGGCTGTAGGTCAAGTAGCGCTTTCTTCCGTATCTGTCGGCGAGGCAGTTAGTGCAAAGTCCGCCAAAAGAACGCCCTATAGGAAAAGAAATCGTTCAACGTTTCGTCAGTTCTTTGCAATGTTGGTAGTGTGAGTTCAAAGGTCCTTTATGGTCACGGGAGGGTAGTTTAGGGAACTTTCTACACGACAAATTTACTATAATGCAATTAGGAAAAAAAATGAACCATTGCACCAATCCGTCATTGCAACCCAAAGGATCCACGCTGAGTCCCTCCATGTCCCCTCGAAAGAGAGCTTCACTTTGCCTCAATCAAATATACGTATTTCTATTTAATCTTGCCAAAGCATTCAGATCTTTGTACCTATTATACTCTCGAAGAAATCCAGTACCTCTTATATGGTCGGTTTGGATAGTTCCTCGGATTCGATGAATTGAGAGGACTAGTATCGTCAATCGGCTAGGCCCTACTGCTGCGTAGCTGATGATATGGAGGTGCCTTGTTTGTTGTTAATTGTCATGATATTGACTCGTTTATAAAACAGAACTCTAGCAATCAATCATATTGTCACGATGCTGTTACTTTTAATTTCCATGCCGTCACCACTTTGGAAGTGGAGCAAACTTTACTTGGTATCAACGGGCGCCGATATTGTTAACACTCAAATGGTTCCCCACCTGAGTTCACATAACTTTTATTATAAATAAATGTATTGCAACTGGTTAGAGTCACCAAATGTGGTTCTTCTAGTAATTTAACCCAATTGTGCCCACCTAGTATACTGCCTACCCTATCCAAGGTATTGGAAACCGTAATTTAAAAGCAGTCTTATGCGGATTCGATATATGGATTTCGTGGACATCATACCTACGATGAAAATGGAAACCTTGTTTGGTTCTCTTAGACTATATTAAAGCTTTAAGAGTGTTGTGTTTGGGCCTCTCTATACACGTTCGACTCTTCGATATTCATTAAACACTACGCTGACGTAACGCAATTACTTATTTCCTTCAAACTGCACCATTACTTACGATCATTAGGTGATCAATAAAATTCTCACTAGTCATAGATTAGTACATAGTGATTTTAAAACGAAGTTGATTATTTTTGAAAGGGACAGAGTTGAGCTTGGTAATCACGCTAAATTCATAATATAACTCAATTGGACTGATGATAGTCCTGTTAAAGTGGGTAAAAATTTAGGGTTAAGCATTGATTATGATCTACACTTTTGAAGCATGCATCCGAACTTCTGAAAAAGTGTTTTGATAATATAAAACTTTTAGAGATGCAAAGTTATTGTTTGAGATTTGCATACAATTTACGGAAATATGATCATCTAAGCCTTTGCAGATTCGAAATCCAAGAGAGGTTTGAAATTCATTTATGTTTTCGTTACACAAGATTTTCAAAATTTCCAGAATGTGAGCAATTCTTGATTCACTTTGCACATTTGGAGAACCTCGATGAGGGAATTTTCATGAATATTTTTTGGCAACAGATAAGTTACACGCTTGGTGAAAAAGTCAGAAATATTATTAGGTTCTCGTATTCCTGCGTTTTCCGCTAGTAGGCCTGAACTTCCACTCCCAAGTACTTTCCAGTTTCTAATATTTATGTTTGCCATTTCAACATCATGGCGTCAAAATTCCATCGGGGTTACCTCATCTACGCGAAGCATCTTCTGTCTTTCCTGTTATATCCAGTAAGCTTCGTGGTCGTGCTGTTATGCTTAAAGGTATCTTTGTGCACTTTGTGGTTCCTCTGTGATAGAATCTTTCTAATTATCCAACTTCCCAAAAAACACCCTTGTGCTTGTTTTGTATGTATTTTTTTACCCTCTCGTTGTATCTTGTAACCCTTTTACTTAGAATAGTTACTTTTTGCTTTTGTTCTCTGAAGTACTGTTGCAATTTTTCAAAGAACGTTCAATCAACCTATTATCTTCTTCAGAGCTTAACTGAACATTTTTTTTTAATTTTACAACAGCTAATCAACAGCTATTTCCCAATCTTAGTAAACTTTCATTAATAATATTAAACAATGCATCGTATCACTATGGACTTGCTGAGCCAATACCTAATCAAAGTTGAATCAAGCAGTCTCTTGTAGAGTAGCTGCAAAAAGGAATATTCCATTTCAGCCAATTTTATCGAAAGACCAGCTATGGATGTTAGTGAAGCAGTTCATAAGTATTTTTGTTTAAATATGAAATTATTTTAAATTAAAATCTTTTAAGAATTGACAAGTTAGAATTGCATAATGGCCATCGCGTTTTGTGACTTTCGCCTTATCATTGCCAATTTAAAGCGATAGAGATGGTTCGGTCAGGTTGTAAACGGTGTTATAGTTCCAAAACAGCTTCCATATATTTAGTAATATCTTAATAATAGTTCAAATAACAGTTTGTTTCAGGTTTCACCTGAAAAATGGAAGAACTATTTTAGGCACACACACCGCCTCATAGGTGAGGCTTGCGAAAGTTCATCGAATCAGACTCTGAGGAAGGTGCTTTTTTCTGATGATAACCAGTTTTTGTTTCCCTTCCTTGCTTTTTGCGTTATTGGCTTTCGTTGGTTGTGTTGTTGATGTATTGGAAGTTTTAACCTATCTAACTGACATTTGTTTTCTCTCATATATTTGATGCCTTTTATTTTGTTCGTTCGTATAAATACGCCACTGAACCAAGTTGCAAAACAATAATGTACCCAACTACATGTCATTTTTTGCGAATGACCGTGTTTGTAGTAGGTTCACCCATTTATTTTTAGGATTGTATATCCGAACGTACCTCAAAATGGCAGCAATATAGCTAAGAAATACGGATCATTCTTGATTACGTCACTATACGTGACGTGGCGGTACAAATGATCTGCCTGGGGTTCACGAATCCCTGTATTACTCTACGCGTTATTGCCACTTCTTCAGATCTATCTCCATCTATGCTTAGATATGGCGTTTGTCCCAAATATATAATTGTTAAATTAATAGAAAATCTCCATCGTTTACTCACATCCCTTCGTGACGCTTACCGATGTAAAAACTGGTGAATATTCTCAACACGATTTTGTCGGTGATGCCAGAGCTTTGGCACGAAGACAACGCGAGCGCCATGGGCAGAGCGACAAGGGTGAAACCTTGTGCAAAATTGCAGAAGCAGGTCAACCCGATGATAAATTTCGAATACAATCCCCAGCCTGAAATAAAGAAGCGTGATGACTTAAAACGCGATGCGGGCCCCAGTGTTTACCAGATTCCTCCAAGAAGTGTTCGAAATAAATTTCGGTGCTGTCGCCCATAATTAGCTTGTCACTCGTTGAAAGGGTCGACAGTACAACAACCAGTACGACGGAAACGAACGTCATCTTTAATGGCAGTAATATCGTTTTGCGGTAATGTAATGAAAAGTCTGGAATCGGAATAGTGCCCAATTTAGATCTTGTGTGACCTCAGTAAAGAGTTTGATTGTATCGATCGCAGCACTCATTTGGGGAAGTTGTCATCGTATGGGATTGCAGATTTTGTTCTTAACTGGATAGATTAATTCGTCTGTAGTTGATATTGATATAGGTGTTCCACAGGGATCGGTTTTAGGTTCTCTCCCATTAACACCCTATATCAATGATTGTTTTTGACAAATTCATCTTTCACGCTATATGCTGATGACATTTCCATTGTAATTTCACATAGATGGGCTCTTTTACTACATAAATGGGACGATATGTTGAGCAACGTCAATACCTGGTTTAACAGTAACAGTTTCTTTTTAAATCCCGATAAGACATATGCGTCAGTCTCATTTTGAAAATAACCTGTACCATTAATATCATGAAAATAAAATTATTAATTGACCCAATAAAACAAAACAAACCCACCACTTGACAAATGTGCCAGTATATTTTAGATTAAAAATGATAACTATTGAAATATGAAACCGTCACAAAGTAAAGGGCGTTGTTACCAAAACCAGGCAACCTATCCTCCCAAAAATTCACAGTCCTGTAAATCAGATGCGTAGTACCCCCAAGGAAAGTCAACTGATAAGGCCCCCTAAATGTTAGCGGTTGGTATGGAGCAATCTGGACAACCGAGTGTCGACCCTCGGAGTGTTCATTGTTGTAGAGGGAAGTGATCGATAAAACCACCTCTAAAATTCTAAATTCACGTCGTGAGTGGACACATATTTAATATGGTCTCCAAATCAGATATATCAGTTCATGTAGGAGAAAGATCAGGTGACTGAGGAGTGTCTACAAGGAGAGGTTTCAGTATCTCTCCTTGGCAGTTTTATTTACCGCCTCATTAACTAAAATCACTATTGCATATCCTAATAATTTGATCATTCTACGATCAAGCAAATTCGTACAATGTTCTGCTCCCGTAGGCTAACTGCGCTAAAAAAACTGAAGGATAGTGTATTATAGTGTCAATTAAGGTCAGGGAGACAGTATGGTTCTTTTCACAAGGAAAAGCACACCAGGCGACTTGGTGGCACCGAAGCTCATAAGAATACGACTAAGCTTCTCATATTCGTCGAACTTTTCCTGCTTAACTTAAGGGCACTTTCTTTTACCGAAAACGAGTATCCCAACGTAGCTGATATCAGGCCAAAATATTGGGAGCTGAATCAAAACAGTAAAATACAATACCTAAAAAAGTTACAATATAGAACAAAAAACTCAAACCAAAAAAACGCTTTTAATAGGGAAAGACGAAATGTTCTGCCATGGATGACGATATTTCGGAGCAGTTAGATAGGGACAATAGAAATATCTATTATCTGGGCGAGACTTGGGTAAATGGAGGATATATAATTGGTAAAAATTTAAACAGCGTTAGGCAAGCTGTCATTAAAGTATGGTAGATAAAGCAATAAACTGGTGTTACTAAAAGAAGCAACTCCTCCAAACGGAAACTCGGCAGAATTTTTGAAATCTTTTAGGTATAGGAAACCAATGTGAAGGCTGTTCAAATGAAAGCAAAGAGCTGAATTTGAGAGGATGTTGATTACTGCCATTGGAGAATTGAGTGCCATTTAAAACAGCTTTCGACACTCGCATCTTCTGAGCAGCGAAGTTTTTGTGTTGATGTTGATGAATTTTTTAAGATTTTGTTTTGTTCCCTACCAAATTTGGTTTAAGTTGTTTCCTGATAAACTGGTATTGTGTTTTTTAGATTAGATAAGAGGTTTGAGTGGTTTGACGCATTCTTGCTCGTACAAATCCAATGAGTCATTGCACGGCAGTCCACACAAATGGAAAGTAGCGCCTATGCACTCGAAAACCCCATTGTTTAACGGTGCGGTAGATCAAACCTCTGGAAGGCAATTCATCACAACTAACAAGGCTTCCTTGTTAATTTTTTTTTTACATTTCGGTTCATATTTTTAACAGTTAATTTACCCACCTAAGTTTCGAAAATGACTCATTCGTTTGTTATCAGTAATCCTTACTTATTGAATCATGACATGAAGGACAGATTGTTTTGGAAATACAGATTCCACTTCTCGAAGAAGCAATTTAAATGAAATTAAATTATCGATTTTTATTGAACTTTAATCTTCAAGTTGATTTAGATAATTCCTCAATTTTTGTACGCAGAATGAGTGATTCATGTTAGCCGTTTATGCAAAATGATTGAATACAAATATTTTTCGCCAGCGGTACTGGATGCACCGCAAAAGAACTACAAAATAAAAGCCTCTGTGTTTCGACACATCCACGTAAGATCTTGGATTCGGTGCTGTACATATAGAGCGTCAGAGTGTTTAATGAAGTGACCCTTTGCGCACGCCTGTGCATGTAGTTGCATTCGTGATTTGCATTTGTATAGGTGTTTTGCAAGCAAAATTTTCTACAAACTTGTAGACAAGTTTTTTTCTATTTTTTGTCGAACTCTGCCATTTCTTGTCTATACCAGCCAGTCTGTTCTTTGGTCGCGAAACCCCCAGACACTGGCAGTTTTGGTTAGTCGAAGAAATCATCCAGCGTAAAACTTACCGAAACGACTATTTGGATACTAATATTCACTATCTCTACGTATTACTAATGATTTTCATTACATCTTTATATCCGTAGACTTTTTTTTCATTTGCGTACATTAATTAAACAAATCTAGAGTATGAAAAGCAGCAAAAAACATGCGATTCCATCTTATCAGCATGTTTGTACGATATATAACATCTATAACTTGTAGTATTATCCGCAGTTCTGCGAAATCAAACATGCAGAGACTTATAAGTGTAGTATTTATTTCAGTCGCGGTAAGTTTAGACAATGAATTATTTATTTTTCGAAAATAATTTGTTATTGACCAACTAAAACTTAAAAATTGATTATTATTATTGTGAAAATTAATATTTTCGTCTACTCTTTTGACTCCTACCCCGCCACAAAATCATTTAACGAGTGTACGAGTGAATAAAATTATGTGCGGTTTTAAGAAAATGAAATGAAAAGAAAATTTTTGAACATGGCCGCCGGAGGACCGAGGAAAAATCCTTTTAACTACTCAAATTTTATTAAAATGCGTTAAGCCTTTTTGAAATTGCCAACAATTATTTCCAAAAATGTTTGACGACGCTTCACCATTTTCCTTTTAGAGATGAAAGAACATTAAAGAAAAAACATTTAAATTTTTCTCAGCTTTAAAACAGTACTCATTCCTTTACTGATACTAGAAGATTTTGCAGAAACCGAATTTTAAAAGCCAATAACCGCTTACTTATTTTTAGAATTTATTTATTATTATTATTATTAATTTTTCGAAGAAACTTGCACTTTGCACAACACTTCTAGATCCATACTTCGCCATTCATTATGTTGATTTCTTCAGAGCTTAACTGAAACCATTTTCAGTATTATTATTATTACTATTACAAAGTATAAATTTATTTTTAATACTAAATTACATATCAAGTCAAACCGATGGGCTGTCAAAAAACGCTTATACTCGTATAATTTTTATAATTTAAAATAAATTTGGAATAGATTTAACATACTTTTAACCGAATATTTCCTTTTTGCGCAGTTAACCCATTGTTAACATTCGATGAATTGTCGGATCATTTAACTTTTCTGGAATTACAGATTAGCACATCCTTTGTGTTAGATATTTATTTTAACTATTTGTATTAAAATTATTAATACTACAGTGGTGCGTGTTTTTTGTACACCTCTTTTATTCCAAATCCGGTCAAATATTTAAAGAAATGACATAAAATGTATTTTTTTTACTTATTTATGTTATTAAAATGTTCTCACTGCCACACTGCCGCCAGATATAATTAAAAGTCGTCATAACTGAAAAAAAAATGAACTCACCCAATATACAGGGTGGAGCAATAGTGTGACTAAGCACCAAACACCATATTGGAAAAATGTTTTGACGAGTGCTCCATGCAATTGAAAGATATATATTTTGTCAATATTTCCAATAATACAGGGCCCTCTACAAAACTGTGGCGGTACAAAAACATATTTTTTAAATGGAATCCCCTATTTGTTTTTGCATAATATGAAAAATGGTTAACACCACCTTTAGTCAAATATGTTGCTACGAATTTAGTAAAGCATGTAAGTATTTATTTTATACAGAATGTTTTTTAAAGTATTGCAAAACGCCCTGCTTCTTACGACTTTATCATTTTTAGCTATTGCTCTTCTGTAGCCTTTTTGTTAAGTTTCTGCGTAGCTATCGAAGCTTCTCAATAGTATTAGTAATATGTAAATATGTAATGTAAAATAATAGATTATTATTTAAAAATGACTGACATTTGAAAATTCTTTCATTCTTGTTTTTGCCAAAACTAAGCCAGTAAAGAAGGATATTCGGTAATTGCTTGAAAGAAAGTAAAAATACATGTTGAAGTAATCAGTTTGCAGGTTTGTCCTTAATATGCAGTCTTGATTAATGGAACTGAATTAACAAATCCTAATGAAGCTTACGAGCTCCTTTTAGATAAGAATCTCGCGAATTAATAGAGAAACAAAATAATAACATGGAGAACTTGCAACAGTAGATTTAACAAATGTATTCTTACATGAAGACGCCATTTAAAAAGTGGTAATTTTGAAATAAAATTAATCCATTAATAAATTTCGTGTTTTTTAATACGTTGTCAATTGTTTCATCGTCATAATTCGGCTGCTGTAAACTGTTGTTATTTTCAACATCAATTTTCATTTCAAGCTGGGGCAAGATTTAATCGTCGATCTTCCCGATGGAACAATTCGAGGATCGGAGATTTCCTACCAGGACAAGAATTATTACGCTTACAGGGGAATACCTTTTGCAACTCCACCTCTCGGCGAACTAAGGTTCCAGGTAATCTATAAAAAACATTTCTCGCTTCACCTTATAACTAAAGAAAATCAAAAAATTTTTGTTTTTAAAATCTGAACCACATTTAAGCAACGCGTATTTTTATTCGCAACGTGTTAACGGTGGTGGGTGGGGGAGGGTAAGGGAGACGGCAGGATCGGGATAATTATGTCATCCCTCAATTTTTTTCCAATACAAATGAGGTTCAAGTGACAACCTATATAAAGATGTCTTGCTAATTAATAGTGGCACCAAATGCAATAAATAACTACTGCCGTTAACAAAGCAACCCACGCAGAAAACCTATAGCGCTATTACAAAGTCAATTCGAAATAGTAACCAAACAGACACCACCTCAGTCAAGAAAACATTATAAGAATAAGAGATCAAAAATAATATTCAAAGAAATTAAACAAAATCTCATTTACCAATGTAATTATCCAGAAGTGTTTCCAGGTGTATAAAAGCTACGAACGTTGTTGGAATGTGAAAACGATGTTCAGCAAAGCAAACTAAAAGCATAAAAGCTTTGTCTTGAAAAAAGCCCAGATTACAGATCCCTGCATTATGATGACTGGTATCGAAAAAGCACGTGAGCCGAATGAATTTATTACTGCACTTGTGAAAGAAAACTCAGGGTTTTAGGAAAGGAAGGAACTAAAATGATCAAGCCTGTAACAAAAAAGGATTGTAGAAATAAACGTAAGGAAAAGTTTATATTGCAGATTCACCACAACATTTTTAGATAGTTTGTACAGGATAAAAAAGTAAGTTTTGAATTGACAAGGGTATATGTTGAAGACTACTATAACGACCAAAAATGCGGTGGAATGCATGAAGGTAAAGAGAAAACTCAAAAAGAGAACTCATAGCTCCAGATCTTACAAATCCAGCATACTTAACCAAAATAGAACAATATCGACAGTTTACTGAGTATGGGACTAAACCCAAATACTGCTGATTTTTTTTATAAATGATAAACGATCCCTAAATCTATTTGACATAAATAAGAGGAATATGAGAGCAAATGCGAAGTTAAATAAAGGAGAAAACCCAAAAAATTCTGTGTAAATACATCAAAATCTTCAATCCATAGGTAATTCTGTAGACCTAATAGGAGACTTGTTATGTTGGAACAACGAATGTGATATTTTATGTTTTACCGAAAACTGGAAAACTAAAATCCAACTTTGAAAAAACATGGTGGAAGTACGATATTTGTGAGAAACAATATTAAATTTAACGCAAGAACAGACATTAACAACTTAAGTAAGGAGTTCATTGTCGAATGCTGTGGATCTGAGGTGCAAAATGCAAATAAAAGAAAGAAGAAAAGAAGAAGAAGGGCTCCTGTAGTTTTGTAATTTTCATAAACAAGATGTAACAATTGCTGCAAATGTGTACAGGTAATTCAAGTTAGTATAGCTGGCGATTTCCATGTGAACCTCATACCCGAAGGCAATATCATCATTATCTCATTTAACGTAAAGCTCACTACATTACCTATTTCAGTGTATGAGTAGTTTACTTCCTCTACTTCAGACCTCTCGGCTGGATACACAGATTGTGATGTGTTGATTGGTGGAGACTTCAATTTACCTAGTGCGGTTTAGAGTAATTCTGTGAGTAGTTTGAGTGTGTCACATCTGCTGGGTGGCTCTTGTAATTACCATAATTTAGATCAAGCTAATAAGTTCGGTAGAGAGGATATTGAATATTACAGAGCATCACCTGGCTTATGTGTGTGTATGTATGGTGCGATTGAGATGTTTGTTCCTATTAAGCGATTTAAGTCTTCAAACTTCCCTGCATAGTTTAGTCATGAACTCCAGAACTTAATTGTTATGAAAAAAACTGCGCACACAAAATACAAGCAAACTAACAATGTTGAGGATTATTTTTATTTCGGTGGCTTACACTGCATATGTATTGAGAATTAATTATAAGGATGACACTTATGACTCAAAATCTTTTTGGAAACATGTAAATAGTTTGCGGAGGTCAAGTGCATATCCCGGTGACGAGGTTACCGACTGTGGTCAGAATATTTTTGGATGGTTTACAAAGCACTTTGCTTCTACTTATGAAAAGTGTGAAGGTGTGATTCCTAATTATAGTTTTGACTATAGTTTAGACTTTAACTCCATGAGCGCTTCGCTTATTGACGTTTTTGAGAGCATTATGAACTTACAGACTGGATTTTCGCATGGGCATGATGGGATTACATCAGTCTTGAATAAGAATTGCGTCTGTAATTTGAGTAGGCGAATACAGCATATATTTAATCTGTCGTTGTCTTCAGGTATTTTTCCTGACTTTTCGAAGGTTAGTTATTTGGTACCGATTCACAAGAGTGGTGGTGGCATTGCAGGGGAATTCTGGCTGATTAACAGCATGAGTTTGTACACGGTAAATCTACAATAACAAATGTACTCATCTACCAACAATTTTTATTGGACGCCTTTGGGGAGTTTGTGCATCTTGTCTCTAAGCTTAGAGCTATGGGTCTGGGGGCTGGGCTGGTGCAGTGGATTCAGTGTTTCCTCTCTGATCGTACTGAGTTGGTTCGTATTAATAACTATATCTTAGGTAAAACTGATATTTTTTCGGGAGTCCCCCAAGGTTCTCACACTGCATCCATTCTTTTTAACTTGTTTATAAATTATATTGTTAGTGTAGTTTCGGAGTCGCAGTGTCTTTTGATTGTTGACGTGGAGAGTGTTGGCAAAACAAAAAATGCCGTAGTATTAGCTTTAGTCGTTGGTTGAGTATGGTTCACAACCAATATAGCATTGATGGAGTCGAGATCTGACTCCTTATGTTTATTGTACGTACTAGTGACCAACTTGCACCACATTGCTTTAAACTCATTTATATCTCTTTGGTTCGCTCTAGACTGGAGTATACATCTGTGGTATATTCTCGACATTATGCCTGCCATATAGATAACATCGAAGCCATTCAGAAAGTATTTTTAAGATCTTTGGCTTCAAAGGCGCATATCAATATCTTTAATGGGTATCAGATCAACTACAGCATTATAACTAAGGCCTTCAAACCAGAAGATGTCACAGTGATTTAGTTTTTCTCTTTAAGATTCTGAATGGTTACGTAACATACATTTTAACGCATATTACAGAAGCTGTAATAATTCAATGTTCCGCATACCTTAGCATCACGCAAATTATGGAATTTATTCACCCCTTACTTAGAAGACTGAAAGTGTGCAACTGTTTAAAGCTTCATGCTTTTGTCGGCAGCCTCCGCCCATTTCGTTCTGATGTGTTCCGTTTGAGTTCTACCGCTTAATTCTCTTTATTGTTATTGTTATATTTTGTTCTGGTTTCTGGGTTATAGTGCTGTCTTTCTCTCTCTATTTACCTTTAATGAATGTAACAGTTTTGTAAGTTGGTTAAACTGTAAATAAAACTAAAAAAACTAAAAACTAAAACTAAAACTCGTTTAACAGGTAAAATTATTACCTATATTGATAATATATTAACAAGTTTCAACGACAATATGACAAACCATGTTTTACATACATTGAATTCAGATCACGCTGCACACAAGTTAGTAAAAAAGAAATTTTAATACAGCCAATAAAATTAAATGTAAACAGCAGTGGTCCACTTTTATGAATTGTTTCTCAGACAAGCTCAATGAACACAATATTCTTTCTATGTAATAAGCTCTGCAGAACAAACAAGGGTTATGATGACCTACTAAAAATATATTAAAAACAAAATTATGTAGATAGCTCCTTATCATGGGTAGATCATACAAATAACGTAGTAGATAAATTAAATAAAAATGCTGTATCACCGTAATTTTGAGTCACATATGTTATGTATGGACACAATTAATAAGAAAAATAGATTTAATTCTTATTGCAAACTTACCGAATTAGTAAATTGTTACAAATTGCTCAAATGGCTGTAAATCAATTTAAGGTTTTGCTATGCGTTTTGCGTCGAAAGTTGTCTTCCTGACAGAAAAACTAGTTTTTGGATTTTGCCAGAAATCTCTTTCGAGCCTCTAATGCCTTATAGTACGATTACGCTTTATCCAATACTTTTATATAACAATAATGGTATAATGAATAAGTTTGGGAGTTCTAAAAAATTTAAACTTTAATTTGTTTTCAATTGGCTTGCGAATTTAAAATTATAAATAATAAAATATTTGGAAATACAAACTAACATGTGAGCTATATCATCTTATCTTAAACAAAATAGACTACATGCGTAACTTTATTTTATATTCGATATTTACTGATGCAACATGTTCTTGTTTTCAGGCTCCGGTACCTCCTAAACCGTGGGACGGAATTCTGGACACCAACGAAACTAAAAGCTGTTGTATATCCATGATTGGAGGCGGCCAACAGAGTGAAGATTGCTTGTATCTCAATGTATACACTCCGGCAAGAAAGGCGAGTAAAGATTTAAAGTACTAGATTAGTATGGCTCGGAACTTTAAAATTCAAAAGAACTAACTAACTAATAATTCTATTTCTGCAGTTTATCCCACTCTGTTTCAGATCGTTTTTTCCTCATTTTCATAAATTTAGATTTAATCAGTTTATTCATATAAAGATTGGTATAACCCAACTCATCGACCAACCAATTAGATTCATCCTGTCTACGGCGACACTTTTAGATTATATGGTAGACTATATTTAGACTATATATTTGTGCTGATTCTCATACATAAGATGATAAACCATGTTGATAGCCTGATTGACCATGATCTTGTATTTTGTGTACTTTGTGTATTGAACATTAAGATCAATAGAACAACAGCTTCAATTAAGACAAAAGACAGAAGCTTCAAACAACGTAGTTATAAGACTTTTAAATCTGATCAAATGGCTATATTGTAGAATAGTACTCGTGATTTTGAAAATGCCGAATATAAAGTGGAATTTGTAAAAGTGGACTAACAATTATACACCATCGTTAACGGGCACCTTAAGAAAATGAAAAAATTACGTGATAAATATTTAGCTAAATTTTAAAAAAATAAAAACCCGACCCATTGGAATTGTTATAAAGTAGTAAACTCAATCAAAAAACTCAGAAGGAACTGTGGGGAACAATAAAATTGTTGCCGGCTACTAAATTAATTGAGTTTATCGAAGAAACAAACACGCTTCGAGCATTAATTTCTATTTTGCTGGTGTTGAGGAAATCGAAATATTAAACAACAATTAAAACAAAAAAGCGTTGTTTATTCCTCTGCCTAAAACGATAAATCCAACGGATTTTAATAATATCAGACCTATTCCAAACATAACAACTCTCTTATGCCGGTAAATCAATCAGGAGACAGTTGCACAACTACTCTTTTGAAAATTAGCGATGATATTTTTAAAGCTCTAGATGAAAGTAAACTTCCTGTTCTGACTCTCTTGGGATTTTCAAAAATTTTGATACGCTCAATCATTCTTTACTAACTGCAGTTTCACATTACGTCGGTTTTTCTGTAAAAGCAGTAAACCTACTTTCTAATTATATCAGTAACAGGGTTCAAGCAGTGATATACAACTCCAAATTATCTTCTTTTTTATAATCCAATAAGGAACTCCCATCAGGATCTACATTATATACATGCCACAGGCAACCTTAGGCCACCTAGCCTCCAAGTAAATGCTGACAAGTCCGTTTTTACATTGTTTGGGCGTAAGAAAAATAAAAGTCAACCCACATTTAAAGAATCACTTTTTATAAATGACAAAGTAATTCAGTATAACGACACTAAAAAATTTCGATCTACTGTTGCACAGTGCTTTGCCATTTTCAAATCATTCAAAAAGCTTACTTCAATTTATTATTATTTAACAAGAATATTTGTTACATACCAAAAGAGGGACTATTTAAATAGAAAAACAAAAGTATTGTTATGTGAGCCATTAATGGTATCACAAGTAAATTTCTGTGCTGTTAGCTTTCATCCATGTTTGAATCACATTGGCATTTTTCGTATTCAGAAATTACAAAACTGCTGTTTGAGGCTGATATTCGGTGTAAAAAAATTTGAAATAAGTCACCCTTCCCAAATGGTAAAATGGCTAAACATGCATAATCAAAAATAACACACCACAAATTAATTCGACTGAACTTTACAAATGGCAATTTTCTTATCTATTAACCAAATTATTATTATTATTATTATTATTATTATTATTATTACTATTATTAATATTATAGTCTAAGTTTTACAAATAAAGCTATATTTTAAGAAACAAAAAACTCTACCAACTTGTACATTGTGCTTATAAATTAGTTTTTTGAAATAAATAAATTCTTCTGTTGTTGCAAAAAACAGAAAATATATTCTCAATAAAATCCTTCTTAAATTGGACCTTTACTTAACTGTACTCCACCGTTAGACAATAAACATATAATTAATTTATAAAAATATGACATATTGGGACTTCCTCTTTACTTAAAACTAAAACTATTAAATAATAACAGTTTTTTTGTAATACTTAATTCATTTAACTTCGACGCAAACTGATTAATCTAAATGTAATTTATAGTCGGGTCCATCATGGAGAACGGAACCATATTTAAAAATTTTTTTATCAAATCCTGACTGGCTAGCTGGCTTCTAAAGTTGCAATTATGCTCTGCAATTTTCAAATCCCTCGGGGTCCTAGTAATGTTAATTTTATTGGAAAGAAAGAAAGAAAAGTCTAATACCAGCGATTCTTAAATATTTTTGTTTTTTTTTACCTTGCTTGCTTTGTCCGCAGTTTCTTGCAGAAATTTGTCATTAAAAACAGCAGTAATTGTTGATTTTATTTCACGTACGTCCGATGTTGACAAAACCATTTTGGCGGGAAACTTCTCATAGAAATAATTATCGATTATAATGCAACCCGTTTCACTAATTATAACACTAATTAATTTATCATATATGTATTTCATTACTTTCTAGATAACTGACAAATTGCCCGTAATGTTGTGGATATACGGAGGTGCATTCACCATGGGATGTACATCTGATGTTATGGCTGGACCTTTTTATCTGTTAGATGAAGATGTTGTAATCGTCTATACAAACTATAGATTGGGGCTGTACGGGTTCCTATCCACCGAAGACGACGTCGTTTTGGGCAACGCAGGGCTGAAAGACCAGTTGCTGGCGATGAAGTGGACTAAGAATAATATAGCACTTTTCGGTGGAGATCCAGAAAAAATAACCATATTTGGTGAAAGCGCGGGCGGTATTTCAGTGGGAGCCCATCTTGTAAACACAAAATCTGCAGGGCTGTACAGGGCTGCAATTTGCCTAAGCGGCTGTTCGCTAACTTATATGAACATTACACATCAGACCGAAGCCAGAAAAGCAGCGTATGACTACGCAAAATATGTAGATCCGTTGATTTCTGAGCAAAATACGACGACGGAAATTCGAGATTTCCTACAAAGCTTGCCGGCAGACGTGCTGACTTCGGCATTCGCTGCAAATGACCGTGTAAGTACAGAAAAAATCATATTAGACGGTTGCGTATTGGAAGAATTTCATTTAACATAGAACTCGTGGTCTCAGAAACATTATTTTCTAAATCTTTCGGCTAGAACTCACCCAATCATATACACAAAACTGTAATACCAATTTAGATATTTTTATGAAGTTCGGCACACATGTACTATGTACCAAGGGGCATTATTTACTGTATCACTTTTTTTTTAAATACACGAGTAGCGGGCATACGGAATTTCATCATTCTATTTTGGCAGAGATTTCTCTTAAAATAAAAATTATTCTTAAAATCTCGAACTATTTCTAAATAAATTTAGTTTCTTGATTTCTTTCAATCCAATGTACGGTTTTCGCTTAAAAAATAAAAACCTCTTCTCTGCATGGTCTTAGAAATGTCGTTAATATGACAACATACAGAGAGTTATTATCAGTATTGTTTCTTACTTAAGTAATTTTATATCTGTAGAAGAGCTGAAATTTTGTGTAAGAGCCTCCTACGATTTAATAAGAAATACTGGAGGTATACTTCAAAGTGTGGGCGGCAGTATGAGGAAAAGAACTGAATCGTGTATCCTTCAAGGTGGAGGATCTTTTCAACAACTTATCTAGTTTCTATGGTCTACATTTTTTCAAAAATGTTGTTATTATTTTATTAATACACAATTCTGTTTAAAAATATTAATGGTAGGTGGTGTTTTTTAATGAAAATCGGACGTTATGTTATTTCATTAAAACTGTAAAAGTAAGAAGAAAAGTATTCCAAAGGGCACTAGTTGGTAACTAAAAACTAGATATTTTGTTTTAAAAGAATATAAATACCTAGATCCAGATGACGAAATAAAGGAACCAATGATATTCTCTTCAAATCTAATAAAAAATCCATATACAACACAGTATAATCACACAACTAAGAAACAAAACTGAAAATATGCCTCTAGCAACTAGAGTGAACTTTTGAAGGAGATCAACTTGACGATCAAATAATAAAAATAACAAACAAAAATATAAGGAAAATTATGGCAATGTAACATATATGGTCGATGACATAAAGACGAAACAGCTTGGTTTTGATACGTACAGTGAATGTTCGAAAGTCGAATAGCAAAACAAGTACTTACGTAGACACCGGAAGAAAAAATTGAATAACGGGTATAGTCTGTCTCAATATATGGAAGCTATAGGTATTAAAGGGCAGAACTTTGGGACGGACTCTGAAAGGTTTTTGGTAATAATATAACTTTTTTAATTTATTTAGGAGTATATAATCTTATTAAATTACACTAAGGTAAAAACACTGACATCGAATATATACAATAAATTCATAGATAGGAAAATCCATACATAACAACATTTTTATTGGATATATCAAAGTATAATTCTGTTTCGCTGTCAGAGTCGTCATTAAAATTAATTATAATAGGATTTATGTTGTTTTGTATAGAAAATTACAGCATACCTACTGTTTTTGCATATTGCATATGAATTAGGAACTAACCAAAACTTACCAAAGGTTGCTCTTTTTCTGTCTGAATTCAAAATAAATATCATTTTCTAAGAAATATTGCTGGATTTCAGTTTTTGAACTTGATGAGGCTGGTGCTTTGCGTAGCAGATGGCTGTGGTAGCTTGTGTTATACTTTTTAAAAGATTGCTTCCAAACCAATTTTCAAAAAGTTCGGCACTTGTATCCTTATGATAATCCCAGCTGGAATCGTTAATATTCTTTGCAGACAACATCAAGCAGTTTGGGACAAATCCTTCTTCTGACCCAGCGTGTATTATAGTGATGCGTTTTCCTTTATTTGAAGGTGCTTTCGTCTGACAGTTTTGAGCGGAATCATCCCAAACATTGGATACAGTTGTTTCTGTATCGGACCATGTTTCATGTTGTTGTCTAATTGATATCTTCTAATCTCTTGAAGTGCGTAATCTTTGTGATTCCATTACTACTTGCCTTTTGTCTATTTTGCTGTTCTTAAATCCCATTTTACAAACAACTCTATGGAGGGTGGCACGACTTAAATTTATATTGGTTTCATCGTGTTCTAGCTTCTTTTTCTGTTTATCCAAGGTAGGAACAACTTTGCTATGATAAAGACAATACATTTTCCTTCTTATTAGGGCCTGACCACTATTGTCTATACGGTGAGTTTGAAAATCACTACCTTTATTCCTTTTCATCAATTCTCCACTATTAACAATGTTCTTTTTTGACGATATTAGCATTTTTGCAAGCTCACAGGTTTCTTTTAAAGCTTCTTGTTTAATAAGTCCCCTACTGATTAGACTTTCATAGATATTTTTCAAAACTTGCTTTGCATCAAGCGACAAATAATTTCGACGCGACGTTCTTACATTCTCGTAAAATAACTATTTTGAAATCCCAGTAAAAACGATTAATCTACACTTCCACAAATGGCCAACACTCAAGGAATATATCAGAAAGAAAGAAGTATACCCCTGTCGTGTCACTCAAATAAGAATACATTTTTTGTTAACGGCTTTACCCAACAACAATAGACAATAACATCGTTGAAGTTTTATTGGGGAGTGTCCGTTGAAAGGCAACACTATGAAGATTTAGACAGACCATACCCATGAAAAGGAGTTGGTAGGAAGAGAACTATGATTAAATAGAGAAGAGTGGATGTTTGATATGGGAGCATGGCGTAGAACGTTCTAAACCAACACGTGAATAATCTTCATTCATTTCAACTAGTTTCTTCACTTCTTGAAACTCTTTAACAAAATATATGTTGTCAATATGATGACATGTCCTAACTACCTAATGCTTACAAATATTTTGTGAAATTCTTATTTTGTACCTTGGACATCGCAAAAAAGCTATGACTTTACAGGTATTTTTAGTAGGAACAAACCAAGAAATGACAATTTAAATTTAAATTAATTTCTCGATAACCGCCCGAGGGAATTAGATAGGGAATTATTTTACAAAAAAAGATCAAAAAGTTGCTGCAAAAAGAAAACTGGAACAATACACAACTTTTTCATTTTAAAAATCAATGTTCCTGCTGGTTTTATATAGGGGAGTGTCAAAAACTTATGCGACCCGCTTTTCAGCACGTTGCTACGTCCCGTTCCAAAACGTATAATGTTCCATCCAGCGTGAGACACCCTGTGTCTTCTGTGTCTCTTGTCTTCCAAATTTTGTTAAATCAAAATTGTGAGAAGTAAAATTGAAAATTCTCCAGGAAGCGTTATATTTTTTATCGACTCTCTCAAGCCTTCCGTATACAGAATGTGATTTTTGACACACGTCTGGGTTTGACACACGCTCTTTAAACTGAAATTTCAAAATAGTTTGTTACAATATGAACTATAGTGATAATTGGGATGAGAAAATGCTGACGAAACCAAAATAAGGTAAAGCTCAAACAGGAACGAACCTTTATATATCCAAACGACAGTGTAGTGTAAAAATTAATATATTTTTTTAAAACAGTAGAAGAATAATCCATCTAAATCCGTTTTTTTTTTTTTATTTTTGGGCCGAATCGGGCATGTTCTAGAAAAAATATTCGGTTGCGAGTGAAAAAATAAAAACCTCGAAATAACTTTTGGTAGTTAACTTAGATTTAAGGGGCAATTCTCCAAAATAGTTCAAAGATCATTTAATACATATAAAAATAAGGATATCAGTAAACACACATTTAAAAAGAGAGCACGTGTCGCATGTCTTAATATTCGGATATAAAATATTTTTTTGTTAGTCAAGTCTAAGTTTAAGTATTACTATTAATGTCATAATATATAAGTTTTGAACTAAGTGTGGAAATTCTATTCTATTGTATTTGTTATAGACGGGTATTTCCATTGAAGCGGAACATGAAGATGCTTACGTCACAAACCGCAGCTTTCCGAGTCTAGAGTCTGGAAATTTCAATCAAGTTCCTTTAATACTGGGGACCACGTCGGAGGAATCACTTAGTTTCTTTAGTCTTTTGGGTGGTAAGTTAGAAATCTTTATTGTCTGAAAAGTTTTATAGCAACTCCTTGCCGGTGGTCTGAAACAAAAATAATATTTTGATAATCAGCATTTTCAAGAAAGCATAGTGACCTTTGTTTTTACCTGCTAGATAGGTTTAGACTTTCGCAGTCGCAATTTAAAACTTCTTTCCTAAGGTTTCGCTAAAGATTCTAACTCGACCTAAACTGGAATGGGAATATTTTCTTTAGATGTCCACAAAAAATAATTAAATAAATAATATGATTACTTAAAAAACGTTTGATAAAAGCGCATACCAGTTGGTTTAGTCGAGATCAGGAAAGATGACGACTACGTCATAATAATGACGCCCGCATGACATTTGCTAAGTACTACTTAAGTATGTTCTAGCATATTAAAAAATATCTTAGTTAGAAAATAGAAGTATGAATTTTTTCACTAATATTATTTAAAATATATATAAATATCCATTTAACAATATTTTTTATTTGTTAGATTAGGCAAAAAAATTCAAACGTTCTTTTTCAATCATTGACATTGAGCGACAACTAAATCAACATAAAAAGAATACCACAACGCTGATTTGTTTTTTATATCTTATTTATCTAAATTTGCCAGTCCGATTTATGGACAACCCACGCAGGAAGATTCCAGGAGATTTTTTTTCAAACTTTTTTTTTAAATTTATTGTCACCACGATATTGGAAAAATTTCAGAATATTAAATATTATAAATATATATGGTGCACTAATAAAGAAAATCGAGATTTTTCGATTGCAAACGATAAAATATACTCGTTATTTTGAACACCCTGAAGCATCTAATTCAAAGTTCCTTTGTATATATTATTATTTTAAATTTATTTATTATCATTGATAAAAAAGTTGAAATATTTTTAAAGGAATTCAAAAAGAAATGAAAATAGGGTGTTCTATTTAAAAAATTGTATGTTTTATCCGTCATGTTTTTTTGGACCACATTAAAACAATTTATAATTGAACATCCCAACATCTTTAACATTTTCTCATAACTTTTGAAATTCCTTTCTCGGGTGTATTTGGCCAGTTCAATATTCGCTATTATATTAAAATTTAAATATGTTGTGGAGTCCTCAGCTTTATTAATCTATCAAACTTTAATATTTTTTTTGTCTAGCAACTCATGCTCTTCGCATTTCTAGGAATGACGCTGATCAACACAACAGCAACAAATTATGATTCGGATTTGACCACAGTAATACCTTCTGATTTGATACTACTGCCGGGTACCAACGCAACGAACGTTGGGTCGATAATAAGAGAAGCATACGTCGGTCCAAATGGATCATTTAGTGAAAACTTTGGGGCCGTTGTAGAAGTAAGTTACTTAGAATTAACAGTAGTTATTGTAATATGCATTATCCTAGGTTTCTATGGATCTATTATTAAAAGATATGCACCAGTACTCAGTTCAAGGTCAAAAAAAAAACTCCTATATCAGAACATGCTATTCCAAGATTCAGGGTGTTGAATAGTTATACATTTATTTTTTTACAGTATATTTCTTGTTTTATTTTGTTAAAATTATGCAACTTCACTCAGAATCAACTAGATGAAATGTTCAGGTCCAGTACTATCCCTAGAGGTATTTTGACAAATAGTACATTCTAAGATATGTACATTGACTTTTCTTTATTTTTAATGGATACTAAGAAATTGTAGGCACGTAACGATTTTTGCACAAGCGCACCTACGTGATTTTTTTCGCGGATGACGAATCTCCAGCTGAGCGTTACATCTGAAATAACAGGGAGCTTAGAATTGATAGGCGATTATCATAAATGAAAGAAATGGTTGATAATTAAAAATGTAAAAGAAATGAAAGTAGTATAGAATTCTCTTTCTCAGCTTGGACCTTGCTTATGAGAAACTGGAGCACAACCTCTCTTCTTCCCCTACCATGACCATTTAACGATAACCATTTTGATCATAGAGGCCCGGAAAAGTGGAACTGTAGATATAACCACCTAATTCTTTATCCACAATGTTCTCTTTCTCTCTGGATTAAGCTTGCATGGTATTTTTTCTCAATAATAAGGTGTAGAATTTCATAATATTCCGGGAATCTTATAATGTGACCAAAATTGACAAATTCTCTTCTCTTAACAACTTTGTCTATTTCCAGATCTTTTGCTTACTTTGTCCAACAAACTCATCTTTAGTAACCGTCTGTACACCCAAATTTCGAATTCAAGCATTATTTCCGTAAATATCCACACAAGAGAACTGGTAAGACTTACCAGAGCACCGTAAACTCGTGAAAACTTTTCTTATTTTTGTTGCTTTCTCTATTCAGGTTTTGATTTGGATACTGCTACTGCTCAAATACACCAATTTTTTGCACCCATTCCAGATGTGCAACATCGATCAAGATACCATTAGCTCTAATGTCACGTGCTTTAATTTTTAATTTTTCAAATAAACTTCCACAGACTACCATAATACTATTTACAAATCTTCCGGGTTCCTCTTGCGTCCATTGTTTCGGGAATTATCCTGTCGGCCACCTCTGATCTTAACAGAAACTGGGTCTCATTCTACGCTGTAAATGCTTATATATTGTTTGATTTGAACGGAGTGTAATACATTGGAGAGGCCGGAAGAAAAATATCAACTAAAATTCTTGCATGTAATCAATTCTTGCAGATACTAATGACCATTTATTGTATTTTGTTGACATTTGAGTCTTAAGTACTTTGGATAAGTACATTAAGAATAAATAACAAAATCGAATTAACTGTTCCCGGCTCTTTCCGTCTTTTCTCTCAGAAGTATTGTTAGCGCATGGCTCATTAAACGAATTACTTGACTGTCATAGCATCTAGTAGCTCCGATGTTCAATCAAACGATAATACGACCGTATACCAATGTTGTAAGGGTTGTTATTCCTTTGTCGCCTAGTAGTTTCAAAATTTCGGTGCTTCCCATTTTTTGCTAGTTTTTTTGCTTATTCTACTTCGCTTTTTTTGATTGTTGGTTGTTGTAAAATCAAAACTACGTTCAGATCTGTTATCTTCAAAAAGCTCTGTAATACATTCCCTCCATTTGTCAATGTGGTTTCATATTTTGTTTCCTTTTTATCTTTCTGACATTAAGTTGGACTTAATCGATTACTGCCAGGGTATATAGAGTAAAGAGATCGCGCTTCGCCTCATAATAGTCCATTTTGCTTTCCAATTTAGGTACTATTGTCCCATATCTGCTTTTCTATACTTACATTTCCGTCCTTGCTCCATAAGTTCTGGAATGCCATCAGTCATCCAGCTTTGCTTCCTCCTTTGTCTGGACTAACTCAAATCACTATTTTGTGTTTCTCTCTCTGGTGATATTCCACTTCTCTTCTTCGGCGTCATACATCTTTTCTTCTAAGACAATTGTTATTTGCCTTCTCTTTATAATGAAGTCTTAACATCCCTAATTCTTAGTAATACATCTGCACCTGGATATATTTTGACACATAGTATCGAGTTTCTAAATTTTTTGTTGATACAAATGAATCCGTTCTGATTTCTAGTAATTTTTCGTGTCAAACAGCGGGTGACCTCCATGTGTACAAGCGTCATTTTGGTGACCTAGAAAATGTGTTTGTCATTACAAGTTCTTTTTCTGAACAGAACTTGGCCTATGTTGGCGTTGAAGTTGCCATAATGATTGCCATTTCGCAGTCCTAAATCTTTATAGAAGCCCTCTGTTTCTTCCTTTTCATATTCTGCAGTGGGGGCAAAAACTTGGATGATGGTAAATCTCATTGTTTCAAGCTGTGTTATTATTATTAAGTTGAAGAAAGTATTGTTGACAGAATTATTTCGTTAATTTTTAATTAAAACTACTATTACGTGAATCGGTATCAGGTATCGAGCGGTCGGTTGAAATGTGAAACATTTATTTATCGGTCTATATAAATAATAATAATTGAAAGCAGAAATAGAATTTCGTCAGAACACAGAAAACAGGGTGTTATTGAAATTATATATAATTTAATGAAAGAAAAATATGAATTATAACAATTTGAACATGCATTTTTGTTCCAAAAATTTCATTCAAAATGCTTATTCTGATCTAGATCTTTTGGCAGGATGAAAAAATGACAGCGAAAACTTCCTATTCTTTAAAAAGCTATTGAAAAGGCAACGGAAGACGAAATTCATATTTTACATGAATACCAACAAACTTTTTTCCCAAACCTATGCGGAATTCACAGAGACCGTACATCCTTCACTCCCTTGACAACAGTCAAGCATCTGTAGGTCTGTTGTTGAACTTTACTCAGCATTTCGATTCGATAAATCATCATTTCTTTCTATTAATATTGAATTTTATTCGATTTGAGTTTAATGCTTTTGGTTTAGTCCTACCATCTCATCACCAACAGTAGGTGGTGTCACATAGCGAAACATTCTGGGTTTTTTGGTTTTCACAAAGTATCCTTTGAATAAGGACCATCAATTGCAAGATAGTCTTTCAAAAACGGAAGCCTTTCTTTTTTTTACAGAACATGTTACCAACAAGATCGGTTGAGCTATCGTAAAATAAAAGTGGTCTATTTACATCGAAATTATCTAAATGAATATTCTAATCACATTCAAAAATTTCAAAATTGTTTTCTATGAGTGTTTTATGAGATTCACAGAAAAGAATTTATTATAAACTTCGGGAATCAACAGAGCAATGCGTTTCACAACCTTGAAAAAATGTGCAAAGTATCTCGTAGGGACACATGAACTGAAATTTATCACCACAACAATGTCGTAAGAAATAATCCTTTAAAAAATCCTTTTTTTACAACATTATCAGCATCATAAATCAGTTTCAAAAGTCGATTTCTCAACAGCAGCTGCATCTCTTAGAAATGTAACTAAATCAAAATTATTATGCTCAGTATTGAAACATATTTTTGAAACATTATAATACTTCTGAAAACAATAAACTAATAACAGCATATTATGTTTTCAGTTAACCAGTGACCGTATGTTTGTGAAATCAACGTTGAAGCAGGCTGAAATTCAATCGAGCATTACCCCCGTATATCTTTATCAATTTTCGTTCATAGGGTGGTTAAACTTGCTTCCGGTCATCGAAGGTAACTATAGATATAGAAGATTTGGAAATTTGGGATGATTGAAGTTTGCTTCAGGGGCAGGAAGAGCGGGACACGGAGCAGAAAGCCCTTACCTTTTTAGTACGCCGCTTAGTTTCTTGCAGTCGAGCGATGAAATTTTGATTAGCAGGCAGATTGTTCGGCTCTTGAGCAACTTTGCAAAAACATTGTAAGTAAATTAGGACGAAAAAAACCTACATTGAAATATAGAAGTTGTCATTGGTAATTATTACAGAAAATTATATTTTTCAGTGTTAGACATAATTTTTTAAAAACTTTTAAGTTTCATTAATTAAAAGTGCTGCCTTTCAGATATGCTATTTCTCTAAGGCAAGGTGATTTTTTGACGAATAAACTCTCCTTTTGTACGTCAAGATTAAACCGAAAACAAATAAATTCACAGCTTACTTATTTATATTCATATTATTTTATATTAGTTAGACAAAGCAGAACAGCTGTATTTAATATTTATAAAGGAGTTATTAGAGATGAAAAAAGAAGCTGCGGCTTCGGCTTGAGAAGTTAAACCGTAAGGAAGCGCGAATTTCAAACTAGGGTTTGAAAAATGTTGGATTGTATTTTTTATGAAAACACGTTATAGTATATTGTGCAACAAGTGTTGTGGAGCGGAGCGAGTGTTTAATAAAGATTTTTGCGAAACAACACGAATACATCCACTGACATGACCGTCGGAATTGACAAACGTCAAAATTCAAGCCGTGCGGTAAAATCTCTGAAAACATGTAATATCCCTAGATGTCCTAGATCAGTGTAAAAGTAGGAATTATGAATTAGGTATACAGAAGGGAGTAGAAAAAGTAAATTAATGGCTGTCTAAGCTAAGCTAACTACGATTGAACTTTTCTGTGTATGTTATAAATATTGTTAGTAAATTTTTCTACTCCCTTCTGTAAAATACCTAATTATACACCCATTTAGCTTGTTGAAAGCGTCACTTTGCGACGTGAGTTTCGTGTCCGAAGGATCCGAGCGCCTTCGGACATTTCCAGGATATTACTACACGGACTTTTGAGAAATTGTTTTCTGAGATTTTACCGCGGCGCTTGAATTTTGACATTAGTCAATTCTGATGATCATTTCAGTGAACGTATTCGTATTGCAAAAATGTAGCCTAAAACTAACTTTCGCAGAAAAAATGCAACACGTTTGATAAGCTTCTTAAGTCACTCGTTTATTAAACACGCGCTCCGTTGAATAAACTCGTAACTCAAATGCCGTTTACCACACTTGTATAATATACTATTTTCTACCCCTTCAGCAAAATACTTAATAATAATAATTCCGACGGTCATGTCAGTCAAAAACTAACAGTCATAGAAAAGGTATATTATACAAAACGTTGGGTAAACTTTTTGGGTCGCTCGCTATGAATTTGGACGTTTGACAATTCTGACTGTCGTGTCAGTGAATGTATTCGTGTTGTTTTGCGAAATGTACCCAAGAACTAACTATGCAACAGGTTTGGTAAACTTTAAATATAATTACAATAACAAGTAAGTACCTTTAGCAGACCCATCAAACCTAACCAACAGTAACTAGATTATAAATTTTAAACCATTTACATGTTCACTGTCACTAGCAGGCCAGACACTTTTCAGCACCCAAGCTACAGAGAAATTCACATTTCACTACTAACTAGGAACATGCAAAATGACTAAATATTTTAGGTATTATTGAAAATTCCTGTAAAATTTTTAGATATTATCAATATTAACGTAATATGGCAAAGATTATGCACAATATCTGACGTTTTAGTGTTTATTCATAATTTTTCATGTTCTCATGTATTATTCGAATCACATTTTCAGCAGTTACGCATAATTCCTAAAATACTTAGTTATTATGCATACTAACTGTAACATTATATATATATATATATATATATATATATATATATATATATATATATATATATATATATATATATATATATATATATATATATATACTTGTTTCTGATAATTAGGTTGGGCGCTTCTATTTTTGAGTTTTCGAATTATTTCCGTAATCTGTATAATTTCAGGAACCCTACGCCCGATCCCACGGACCCACTACTCAACGTGACATGGACTCAAGTTTCGCCGTCAAATATTCAATATTTAGACTTGGATAATGAGCTCGCAATGAAACCAAACAGAAAGGAAAAGGAAATGGCCATGTGGAATAACGTTTATTATGCTTACGGCCAGCAGCCCTTTATGGGTTTTTGAAAAGTTTATCTCTTGGTCTATTCATTGATTTATTTTTTAAAAGCACAAATAAAATTTTATTAATTTAATCTCAATTTGAAAACTTGATTTTCCTTTAGCTTGCTTCCTAAACCTGAGCGCAGCCGAAAACAATAGGAAATCGATGTAAAGAACTAGTAATTTACTCAGATCTTCAAGTTTTTCGAGTACTTAATTCTTCTCACCGCCCCCATCTACACAATACGATCTCTGCTGTTTCATCATCTATCGATTTTACGCATATATAGTATTTGAGGCTCCAGTGTCTCTAAGAGAATTTTCAGATTCAAGAGGGTGTCGGTTAGGCGTTCTATCACTGTCTTCGAATGGGCTAACCCAGGTAACTGCAACCAGAATGCGCGAGTTTGTTACTCTAGGATTTGGATATTGGATTTTTCGTTACCTTGCAACGTCTACTATGCCGTAGTATTTAACGAATCGTTGAGGAAAATTGAGGAAGTGCACCGATAAAAGTTGAATGAAAAAACAGGTTATAAAAGTGGCACCAAGATTGAAGGAAGCAAACATTTTTATATCCCAAGATTTATGTGTATCGGACAGACTCGATAAGAAAATACTCGAGGAAGACCTTGAACTAGCAAGATCTAAGAAGCTGTCTGCTTAAATAGTATACGGAAATAGACTATTAATAAATGATGATATTTACACTTTGCGATAGTTGAGACGTCAGGTAGGTGACTCTGATTGCAAAAACACAGATCAGAAAAATTACCAAGAATCTTCTCTTACCTCAAACAGTGCTCCGCCCAGACCAAAGCTAAAGATAAGTCGTAGAAATCTTTTTCCGCACAATCAGAATTAGATAGCGCAGAAAATGTCTTTATTTTGTTCCATAAAGCAACGAACTTACAGGGTAGGGAACTCAAATCGAAAAAACTATAAAACACGACTCTAAAAAAAGGGAATGGGACGACGAACAAGAAAAATTGATGCGCGTCACATGTTTGTCCCCAGAAAATAAAACAAATAACCCCTTGGTATACCAACTTTAACACTTCAACAGAAACCCTGTGTATTGTATTATGTTACAATGCCATTGGCAATGGAACTGTAATTGTTTTGTTTGTTCTGTTTTAAGATACTCTAATTATACTAGATAGATATATCTTTCCTGAATTGCTTTATCCACGTTTCTGTCTTCTGCTACTTTTAAACCCAAATACATATATTCTTTTGTCTGTGTCCTATTCCAAGAATTAAGTCTTCTTGTGCGCCTCCTATACACATGTATTCTCTTTTATTGATGTTCACTTTCAGCCCGCATTCATCATATTCTTCAATTACCTTTTGTGTCATGTACTCTATGTCATCATAGCCTTGGGCCAAGATTATTTGATTTTTCGCTTAAATGTCTATAAATACCATTTCCATGTCTCTGCACTCTCCCTCTTTATCTTTATCTTTATCTTTCTATGCACTCTACCGATCGTACTCGTACTATTATCTTTTGTGTGTATGGTTAAAATTCTTTAGATATTTCCTCTCCATTAATACAACTTTTGAAGAGTTGAGTTAATAAAGCATACAACTTCTCTGTACCATATTTCAATAGTTATGATGCAATATTTCCTGGTCCCGATGCCTTCTTATTTTTCAAGCCATTCTAGTCCTAACGGGGAACCTATTGTAGTGATGTTTTGTGTTCGGTTCTCATTATTCGGAGAGCCTTTTCTATTTTCCCTTAATACCTCCCAAAAGTATTTTTCCCAGTGATCCATTTTTATGGGTGTTATAATATCCTTTGTTGTATCTTGTCTCAATGCTTTAAGAAGTTTCCAACTCTCTGAATTTCCTGAGCCTCCAAGGTAAGTATTTAGATATTACATTTTTTCTCCCAATGTTTTGTCCTTCCTTTTAATAACGTATTTCCGAACTTTTGCCTACACTTCTTTGTAAACCATTTTGTCTGTGTCTGTTTTGGTCGTAAGATATTTTTGATTTTTTTTCCTATATTGCCAACTCGATCTCCGTCTCCCACCAATAGAGTTTTTACCGCTTTGTTCCTCCACAGAGTCCCAATGCTTCTGAAGCTGCGTCATGTAGGCATACTTGTTATATACGTGTGGAGCTCTTCTGTGTTTGCAAATGTCGACTGCATTTTGAGTTTGTCGTCTAATCCTCTTTGATACAGTAGTCTAATACTTGCATGTCCCAGGCTATCGAGGTTATATCTACGTCGATCTATGATTGTTGTTTTACTTTCAAGTCTGCTCTGCCTGTTGCTTCCTGGAAGCCTTATTTCTGATCTATCAGACAATGATCACTTCCAATTATGGCTCCTCTACAAACTTTAACATCTTGGATTTTCATATGTGTCTTTTGTCTTATAATGACGTAATCTGTTACCGATTTAAGATTTCTATTGTGCTGTGTCCATATGTATTTGTGAATCCAGCGATCCGGAAAAAATCCTTTTATTATCTATAATCTATTGCCATTTTCGTTTCTCACCTCTTCACCATATTTTCCTAGCGCGTTGTCGTTGTCTTGCTTCCCTCTTCTACTATTCACGTCCCCCAGTTTTATAAGTTAATTCTTCTTTCTCGCTCACCAGAGCGTCTTAGTTTACGCCGTATGCTCAAAAAAATGTGGTTCTGTGTCCCCGCATGAGCATATTTACACCTTCGTGTCATAATAGATACTCCCTGTTTACCGTTCTGGTCTTTAGGTACGCCACTAAAGAAATGATCGAAGTACCTGAGATTTTCTAACCCCTGTCCTTTTCTCAGTCTCCTTAATTAATACAATGTCTATCTCGATCTTCTTGAGTTATCATGTAATTTCATTTATTATCCGAGATAGGATGCTTTTCCGAAGCTTAAGTCGTTTCCGAAGTTCCGATCCATTTCGAAGTAAAGTTTGGGCCTTTCAACATTTTAGTTCTATTCCGAATATCGGGGATTGCTTTCTCTACAGGTCAGGACTACTATCTACCACCTGTTGGTCCGCGGATGGTATTTCCTTCCCCACCTATCCGCCGGTGTGATTAAATTCATGAGAGCCTTCCTCTAACCACCACCCGAGGACGCGCCCTCTAAGGGTTACAGGCTCCCCTATACAAATTGTTAAAGAAATGTCTGTATTATTATTATTATTATTATTTGTTTTGTTCATTCGGAAACGTTGGAAATCGAAAACTGATGATCGGCCAAAGCAGAGTCTGACCCAGTTCTAAATCAAGGTGGATACAATCGCGTTCGCAAATCTTGAAAGATAAAAATAAAATTTGGGTTAATTCGGAAAGGAGATTTACTGGTAAACGAGCCGAAACACCTGGCTAATCTGTAAACGATCATCGTCGGATGAAATTTATACGCCATAAGTTTACAGTACGACAAAGGCTGAGGAGGATGTTGGAAGTTTGCCATTATTTTGAGTTTTTTTAGTTTTAGAATTAGAAAGAAACCGCCCGTTCATTCTTTCAGTTTCGCGCTTAGTTTTCGGCTTCGTTGGTCATCAAGTCTCCATTGTCAGATACGCCATGTTACACACTTACTTAAACACCAGATTAGGATTCATTCAAACAAGATAAATGCTCTGGGCACGATAAATTTCCCTCAATCTATTTTAAATCTTGTAGAGAATCTCTGCTGCTGAGGCTAGTTTAAATTTTTAATAAAAATTTATTAAAAGGGCACTCCCCAACTATTTGTTTTGGTTAATTGTCAAACTGCAAATTCCGTGGGTACACACATTAAGATTTTGCTAAAATTAGTTCAGTCCAAAAGTTGCCAATGTTAAATTTCAAATTATTCACGGAAATTATTACCTTACGCTGGATGAGCCAATCAACGTTTCATCGATCAATGTCACTTCTGATCCGGGAAAAATTCTGGAGGCAATTATAACTTAATAATTTATACTTAGGTACGTTCTTGGTGAAACGCAACATAGTTTTTTTAGAGGTAGATGCGTCTGCTAATCTCTGACTGTATATTCGAGATGTGTCTGAGGCGTGAGATAATAGAAAGCAAAATCGATGCCGTGTGCACTGATTTTTCCAAGGCATTCGATAAAGTAGATCATCCGATAATATTAGCGAAACTTAAAACTTTCGGTGTGCACTGCTTTTCTTACCAAATCCGGGACTCGGTATGTTAGTTAAATGTCATGTCTGGGATACTTGGGACCTCTGTTGCAAGTTTCAGGAGAATCTTGATAGTTTTTTTGGCTTCTGCGTAAAAAATCGACTGTTTTTAGTTGTTGAGAAATGTTACAATATTTACTTTAGTAAACTAAAAACTTCAGAAATTTTGTTACTTCATCTTTTAGAATAAGATAAAAGTGGACATTTTTGGTGCGCCTTTGTGAATTGTAACGTTAATTCCCCATGTGAGAGTGATTTTTTATAAAACGAATTTTTTTAAAAAATCTTGTAGATTCTTTGCCTGAACAATGATAATAATATTAAGACAATTGCTCAGTTTTGGTTAGTTTTGGTTAAATTTCAAAGTGCATATTCGTTGGGTAAACACCATTTTTCCAAAATTACTTTAGTCCAAAGGTTAAATTTTCGATTATACTCCTTGATTTCTCTGCCTGAAAAAGGAACCCATAGAATGTAAAATTTCAATAAAGTTATGGCTTATTTTTTTATTTAAATTAGGATTTCTCAGTGGCCATTTTTTACAAAATTTCCCACAATTGCAATTCGAAATTTTTTACTTTTGGGCATCTACATGGCGAAAAAGAAGAATATTTTTAAAATAAAACGTAGTTACTTAAGTTACTTTCTTACTTTCTTCCAAATACATTCTCCAAAATGGAGATTCTTCTACTCCATCATTGGAAGGCTGCCCGACTGCATAACATAATGCCATAAATCTTATGCGGCATCTCTGCTGCTGCGGCTATTTTTAATCTTTAATAAAAGTTTATCAGATGGGCACTATGTACTATGGAAATGTGCCAATTTTTTGCAAAATCAACTTGCATTTAATAATTTTTTTAAATTTTTTTACATTATCTCAGAAAACGCCATCTAGTGACAGGGTACTCAATCATTTGATAACCTAGGAAAGGCTCCTACTCAATGTCTATTAAAATTCCGACATGTCCAATTCACCTAATTCTTTTTTAATTCTTTGGAATGTCCGTCTCCCCAATACCGTATCTGGTTATCCTTACTGGGACACTCGTTATAAAGTGTACACACGTATATTAACAGGCAGGTTGGAAAATAAACTGGAATTCATTGATAAATTAAATTATTTCCAAAGACTATAGAATACAATAGACCGCTGGTTCTTGCCTTTGTGGATTTCCATGAAGCTTTCGGCACTGTTAAATCATCTGATATCCTCAAAGAAATAAAAGAAAATAGAATAGACCATAGATATGAAGATACCAGGTAATTTCCAATTATGAGAGGTAAAGTCTGTTCATAGATATAAGAAAGTGACTAACTGATACGAATTAAGGAAAGACCCGGCAAGCTGTAAGAATGAAATATGGCCGAACAGGTCCGTACTTTGCTTCGAATTTAATTGTTCGGGGTTTTGTTAGGAAATATTTATTTTTTTATGTATGTATTTATGCTTAAATCTAATATAAAATTACAAATTATTTTTATTACCTACTTAAATTATTTAAAATTATTCACATAATATATCAGTATCACTATCGCTATCACCTGTTCTAATTATTATTTGTTCTATATCATTTGCAATATGGATATACGATTGTTCTGCTTTTTCTATATGTTTAACAGAATTTGCCCAACTTTGTGGAGGGATGTTAAAAACTTCGGTTTCTATAAGTTTGAGGACATTGGAGTTAATACGGGGAAAAACATCGTTACGTCGAATGACAGATTTCAGTTTGTGCCAAACATGTTAAATGGGATTAAATATACAGTGAAGCCTTAAAACTGTATGCCTCAGATTTTTTTGCATAATTATCACAGACGTATTACTTTTGTAGGTCAAATCAAATAAAAATTGTTTATAACTTCCTTAGTCTCAATAGTGTTTTCTACATTACTAATAAACTTAAACTAAGTAGTATACCAAACCAAATAATATTAAACACAGGTAGGTATACAATTATTTTCTATTACGGACCACAATTTTACCTGAATTTAAATTCCGAAACATTAGGTAATAATCTTGTTGCATTGTATGTTAATGACTACCCTTGGATAATTCCATTCAAAAGCAATTGGTCACTTTCTTATATCTATGAACGGACCATACAAGCGAAGGAGACACTCTGTCACTGAAATTATTTACTACAGTCTTGGAACAGACTTTTAAAATAATAAACTTGCACGGAAAAGTGAGCGTTTGAGGCGTCTATGCTTTGCAGTTGATGTAGTCCTCATAGTGAACAATCTCGCAGACATAAGGGACGTGGTTTGGGAACTACAACAAGTCACATCACAAATCGACTTACATACAAACCGTCCGAAGACCAAAATGATGATAAACATGGTCTTTAGTTAACAACAATTGGTATGAGCGGCATAACAAAAGCTGCAAGGCCACTATTGCCCTTAAAGGGAAAGCTTTAAACAAATGCGTCTGGCTCGAACCGGAAATGCTGACACACACAAAAACCTCAAGAGTGGAACTGCGGAGAAAGACTAAAGGAGGCATACGTTCAACAACGGACATGAGATGGAGGCTGACAAATGGCATTTTTCTTTAATAATAATAAATGAATTATATAAATATGCAACTTAATTGCAATAAAATAATTCTTGTATCCATTTTTTTTCTCCAGATCCTGACAAGATCCTCAAGTTCTCTAAAAGGTGCCATAGATCCTTTATTGATCACTTTCTGGTTAAAAAAATTATTGTCGCAAGTCATGTTGTACAACTAAAAATATAAAAATATAATATATAATATATATAAAGATAAAATATAAAAATATAATATAAAATGGCGTGACATACAAAACAGTAAAATATGAACAACACGAAACAAGAGTATTACACATTAAAGAAGAATTACATACAAAATAGCCAAGATTAAATTAAAAGATCCTTGATAGCATCTTCTATCATGATGGTGAAGTGCGGAATAGCAACAGTGCTTTTAAAGGAAGTTAGTTGCATAACTGTTAAATGTTTTATAACTCATTGCCTTAACATTTGATGATACTTAAATACTTAAATTTCGTATTGTAATATGCGTACTAATATGTGTTGCATACTTTTTAGAGAATGAGCAGGTGTGTGCCTCCGTGTACTTCCAGCAGTTGATAATAGATGTACAGACATGGAAAGGTTATTATTCTTGCCACCTTGTTTTTAAGTATAAACTCCCGAACAGCTGAAACCACATATTGCTGAGTTGAATCTGGATTCCATCTAAGAGATAACATAACTCAGCCCTATCTTCTGTGGGTTTTGTTCTCTCTATTAAATCTTTTATTTTCATAGAAATTATAAAGGATACCATTGGCATCTGGAAAACCATTCGAGGAATCCAAGATTATCCTCAAAAATTTCAACTCCGTATTCATTCTACGGAACTAGCGAGCAAAAATCTGTTTTATTAGACAAAATTTTGTGGTTGTATTTAAAATTGAGCACCTAAATGTAGGTACCACCTAAAGTGACTTGCAAAAGACTTAAGTAGTCTAGAAAACAAAAGTCCACCTAGCAATATACTAACTGTTGGTGGGAACGGTAATAAATAACACATTAATTATCACCACCTTAATTAAAAATATGCCGGATCTTAAATTTTATTTATTTGCTGGAATTGCTGGAACACTTTAGGATTGCGGAAAACTCTTTTAAATCCCTCCGCCTCTCGTGCCGCTCTAGTTCGAGTTTAGTCGTGAGAGCTTTAATATTTTCCTCAGCCAGCTCTAGCTTATCGCTCAATGACTCATCCGGGACACGCACAGATGCCAAGGATGTGGTAGAACGGTATCTGTTAGTCGATATAGATTCAGCCTCAGCTCTAGCCAGCGCCGATTCCAATTTCGCAGATTTCTGCTTTTCCTTTCGCAGCGCCAATTGACATTTGGAAAGTTCGCTTCGCGCGTCCTCTAGTCGTTTATTTTGATTCTCGAATAGGTCTAAAATCTTAATTCGTTCGGCATCGTAGCACTCCGCTACGACCATTTCTTCCTCGTCCTCCTTGACGCCTTTGACTTTTCTCAGTTCAGTAATTTGCTCATTTTTCGATTCGAGCTGTTGGCGTAGCTCGTTTATTATAGTCTTGCATGTTTGCACCTCTAGAAACAGTTGCTCTTTCTCATTACGGACCTTGCCCAGTAAACATTCCTTTTCCCTTGTTACGTCCCTTCTGAGCTCCTCGAAAGAAACTACCTGAGCCGACAAGGTAGCGATGAAGCACTGATCTTTTTCGTAGTGTTCGTTCAACGTAGAATACTTTAACTTTAAACTCTTGTTATCTGCCTCCAAAGCTTTGTTTCGAGCCTTGATAGCTTCGATTTTTCTCCTCAGTTCTTCGTTGATCGCCTTTACGTCTCTGCTTTCCTGTTCCAGGCTCGTCAATTTCTGGTATGTCTTTGCGTAACTCTGCTGGGTATCCTGCATCATCTTAATTTTGTCCTTCAGCTCCCTGTTTTTGCTCTGCAATTCGTTAATCAGCTCAGATTTACCTTTCCACTTGCTATTGCCGAGCAACGAAGTCAGTTCTTCCCCCGTCTCTCGTTTCAGGTACTCGTTGGCAGTTTTCAGGTCGTTTTTAAGCTGCGCGTTGGCGTCCCTCGCCTCCACCAACTTGTTGGAAGTAGCACGGAGCTTTTCTTCCAGCCGCTTCGTCTCGACGTCTTCGCATCTGAATTCTGCAATTGGTTCGCAACGAGTCGATCGATTTTCCAATTCGAGGACGTAGTTTTCAAGTTTCGCATACTTGGACTTGCATGATTCAAGTTCTGCGCACTTTTCGCGCAGCTTCTTGCTGATCTCGACGATCTTGGCGCTGACCAAGTGATTGGGAGTAGCGGCGACCATGTCGGACGAGTCCTGGTACTCCTTGAGTTTCGTTTCTAGTTTTAGCAACTTGCGTTGGGTGTCTTCGCTTTGTTTCTCTTTTTCTGCAATGTCCTTCCTCAAGAAGCAGTTTTCGCGGGTACAGGTTTTCAGTTCTTCCCGAAGGTAGCGGCATAACTCGTCCGGGAATAAAATATCTTCCGGGACGCGCGAATCAGTTACGTCACCGACGTCCAGTGACATGTCAACGTCATATAGATCCTCATTGAAATTGGGCACTAACCTGTGGCAACATGTCAACATCATATAGACCCTATGGAAGTAGCACTAACCAAAGAAGTGGACGTAGTTCCCTCGACAACAGGCTCCATTGTTTCTATTGAAAACTGAGAGACGGGAACGCTACTCAAGAGAATTTGCGTTCATTGCTTCGTTCCGCTGACTTCATAATTCTTTGAAGAAATGAAGATTTTAACGAGGACCTGGTGCAAGCTGGAGAAGATGTGGCAATTAGAAGAGATGTTTTACCACAAACAGACCCTTTCCAATTTCAAGTTTATGCAGTTGCAATGTCTTTGTGAAAATAGTTTAGCCAATATATGTGGTTTATATCATTAGGAAGGTAAACATTTACAACGGACATGTACCTATTTGCAATATACTAGGTTATCGTGGCTTTATGCTAGAAGCAGCCATCAAGAGATTACTCGTTGGTACTTTGTGGCAGTGACAGTAACAAGTAGAGGAAGCAACCGGTATATTAGTTAATGATAATTAATGATACTTTTAAAGCTGAAGCAAATTCAAAAGTTTTTCTTAGATGCTTAAAGGAGATGGATAAATAATCCTGTAAAAACTCAACAAACAACACATTGAAAATCGAATCTCAATATCAAACACGATTGCATTTTTCAAAATATTTCTGTTTTTTTTAGTATTGTTATATTGTTCAATTTTTATGGAACAAATTATCATAATATTACATAGACATAGACTATACATGAATCCATCTCTAAGTATGTGCGTACAATAACAACATTTGTTATAAGTATTTTATTCTGTCTAGCACTTTATTGCCGCCTATGCCATCACAAATCGTACCGACTATACATTGTGATGCCTATCATGTTGTTAATTGATGTCTTATTCGTCTGCCGAAGTAGATGGCATGTTGATTTTGTTTTCCCAGTTATATTAGAAGACATTATTATATGTTATTATAGTAGAATGGTATTTAGTCGATTAAGTAAATGTTTGCGCGATCCAGTGCATAGAAGAAACCGACCGAAGTTAGGGACGAAGAAAACGTCATTAATGCTCTTCCCTAAGTCCACATTCATCCAAACTGACGCATAAAAAGAGTAAGTTTGGACTTGAATGTTAGTAAAACATTGATACACTGAATTCTAATTATATCATGTTGAAATACATCAGGCTCTTTTAGAAACTCAATCTCGAATGATATGCACCGATTAAGCAACTTTTTCGAGAAATGGGTAATTGCGTAATATACATTATTGGTCGCCAGTGAATCCTCATTAGATGCTTTAAGTGAATTATCAAAATCGGCGGAGTTGTATTTTAAGTGATCGAATTATAGGGTCATTTTTCTTCCATGGTGAAGCAACACGATGGATGTGCAGCACACTTTTCTTACAAAGTTAGGAATTTTTTAGACCAAAGGTATCCAAACTGTTGGATAGGAAGGGAAAATTTGTATAAAAATTTAAGATGGTAATTACGCCCTCTGGTGGCTATTTCAGAAACTCAAAAGTATTTTCTCTTGGCTTATTTACCAATTGTTTTTTTATTTTTAGAAACATCCGTTTCCCTAATACACGTTGTATAGAAAAGTTCCCCAATGTGCCATTTCTGAAAAACAAATCTTGAAATATACGACGCACGTTATTTAGAGAGGGATTTTGATATGTCTTAAACAAGTCTATGATATCTTCAAAAAGTGATATTGCTAAGCTGTTCACATCTTACTTCAATTTCCTCATTCCTTAAATAGAAAACACGATTTTCCTATGTCGCTGGATAATAATTTTAAATGCTTGGACTTGGAATGTGTTAAATTATTAACATGTGTATTCTTCGTTTTGGAAAGTCAGCTTGATTTAATTCAAATATTATATACAATATGAAAAAAAACCGGATGTCACAAAGGCTTCAGAAGTAGGAGTAGTAGCTCAGAAAACGTTCAAATGTCGAAGATAAAATCTAAAATATGTACTTTTATAATTAAAATAAAATATGACATTAAAAAAGATCCTAAGAAGTTTTGGTAGTTCGTTAAAAACAGAAGCGAAATCTGAGGGGTACATTCGCGGCGGTGGTTTTTTCAAGAAGTTTAATGTTTTTCGTAATTCATACCACTCCGAAAATGGAAGCAAAGAATTTCTCCGAATCTGAAAAAAAAAATCTTTTTTTTCAATGAGTCCAGTTTTAATCCCTGCATCTCTTATACATTACTGTCGCATTGTTTTGACTAAACCGTTTGTAATACTTTTTAATCCATGTCTAACAAAGTAAGAACTTTCTCGTATACGAAAAATGTCGAAATTTTTCCCGTACACAAAAAAGACTGTAACCAGCAAATCACAAACTATAGGGCTATTTTCACTATCTGTAATTTCTGTTAAGTTTTACAAGCCCTCCTACATGACAAGATATTTCATGTTGTTGGGAACCAAGTAGTCCCCAACATGGATACCTTAAAGGGAGATCCACCATTACCAATTTAACTAATCAAAATATTTCTCAAGTAGACGTCACATATCTTGATTTTTCAAAAGCGGTTGATCTGCTAGATTGCTAAATTCTGATCCACTGAATTTTCTGAATCGCTTGCTAATTTGTTTTCTTCATACGTTGCTTTCTCAGGCGTTCCTCAAGGCTCAATATTGGGGCCATTATTATTCTCATAATGTCATTGCTAACGATCTTGAGTGTTTAGAAGATTGTCTTACGCTCCAGCGTAGTTCGAAGCAAATCAACAATATGTCTATAATAACTTGCCGCTTAGTACAGCCAAGTGCAATGCAGTGTCTTTCACCACCATGGGTGTAACTGGGAAAAATGATTATCATATTTTTATAAAACTCTCTTCCGTTCTAACACTTTTTAGCATAAACTTTTGAAATATGTATGATATAAATTGAATAGAGTATCTCCGCCACCAGGCTTTTCGTATGCAATATTATTAAATAGGTTTGGACATGATTACCATTATTTAATAACTGTATTGAAAAATTGAAATTGCGCTGGCATGTTATATAGACTAATTTTGTTTGTTCCCCATATAAATTCTAGACATGGTAACTAAACATTCTATCTGTCCACGCCAAAAACAAATATATAATAAATTTCAGCAATTTTCTCAATGTTATTATAATTTTCCTCTTCTCTTGTTCTTTTTTATTACCATTATCTACCGTTAGGTAAGATTTTAGATTAAATTTCGTGATCTTAATATTCCATTTTACTGCAACCTACCTATTAGTTTTGCTTCATGCCTATTAAATAGACTTTTTTTTTAAATAAATAAACAAATCAGCTATTTTTAGAAGTTTTAGATGTGTTATACTTGTCCGGTGACCTCAGAATATTGCAAGGAAATTGTTTTATTGTCGAAGAGTTAATGTGTTCGTTGTGCCTTTTTTTATAAAATTATAAATGTTTATTTTTCCGTGTCGAATTAATTTTTAACTAATATGCTACACATGTTATCTGAGAATAAATAGTGCTCATAACGAGACAGGCGATGAATAAATCAATTTTTCTTTATTTTTATTACTTTTTAAATAATTCATATTGTAATTAAAATTTACTCTTTCAACTCTTTTTTGTTCATTTGTATATTTGTTTTTTTTTAAGCTATACGTTAAGCCATCGCCATTGACTCTATTATTAATCGAAAAGTGATTATGTTCCACGCATACTTTAAAATATATAAAAATGCATTCAAAAATATCCGCAGGCGCTTTTTCGAAGTGTAAAAATAAAATTTTCACGGCGCGTAAAACATCTGCAAATCCTCGCCTAGCTTCGTTTATTTGATCGCGTCTGTTTGAAAATAAATCTGGGCGTGAACTTTGAAAACGCATCTTTCAAACGTGCCCTGCATGTATCGAATAACGGCATTATTTTATCTCTTTAATATCGGATCGGTTGTCGCAGTCGCTCACAAAAGGATAGCCACGGAAAGTCTTTTTTTAAATTTTTATCAAGCATTTTTGAAAAACCTTCTGCCGTGTTGAAAAACTGATTTGATTTGCTTTGACATCGAAGAAAAGCTAAACCTCTTAAATACTATTTAATAAGCACGCGCCGTTAAAACGCTTTAGGAAGAATAAAAACTATAACTATGCGCCTTGGATAACAGAAAACATAAAACTGCTACAAAAGCTGAGAAATAAAGCGCTAAAAAAATTTAAACTGACTAAACTTCCAGCATATTACGAGCATTATAAACAATTACGTAATTATACAAATTCGGCCATTAGATCAGAGAAAAAAGCTTATTTAAAAACTAAGTTTTGTCATGGTAATGCCAAAGAGAAATGGAACGAACTAAGGAAACTTAATGTTGTAAAATGTAACAGGGGTACTTTGCCAAGTCACTTAGATAATGTCGATCAAATTAATAATTTTTTTATAAATAGTGTGGAAAATAATGATAGCCCCACTCAAGAACTGCTGATTTTTTATTATAATAATAGGTTAAATGACAGAACGGATCACTTTGACTTTGTATTGTCCACGGAAGATGAGATTCTCAACATTCTGAAAAATATAAAATCTGAAGCTGCGGGCCATGATGATATAAATATATCATTAATACTGCTTTGCTGTCCATATATTGCCCCATACATTACGCATATAATAAATGAGTGTATCTTAAATTCGTACTTTCCGTCAACATGGAAGCGGGCACAAGTCATCCCCTTACCGAAAATAAACAATCCAAGCGAATTTAGTCACCTGCGGTTAATTAGCATATTGCCTGTTCTATCTAAAGTACTTGAAAGAATTATGAACGATCAAATGGTAAACTTTTTAAATTCTAATCATATTCTACCAGAGAAACAGTCTGGTTTTAGACCCAATCACAGTTGTGAGAGTACCATGCTGGACATTACTGATGACATTTTTAGAGCGATTGACGATGGAAAGATAACGGCTTTAATATTGTTGGATTTCAGTAAGGCATTTGATATGATAAATCATTCAATTCTCTT